ATTAGAAGGAGCTTTGATTTCACAGCGAATGCGTAAAATGTGAATTTCCTAAGAGCCGGGGCAGCGATGTAGTATGTATTCGTAAGTGTAAGCTGGTGTTTTGCTGTGTTTACTCATTAATGAATCATCCCCTCCTTTATCTCTTAAGGAGGGAGGGATAGGGACGAAGAAAATAATTTCTGAGAAATTAACTTTAGTCGATCTCTGTAATTTGGTGATAGGTACTGAGAATACGGCAACCTGAATGAAACACAGACTGAAAAATAAAAATAGATAATTATAATATGTAAATAAATACTTACCTACGTAAATAATATACGGATTAAATAATTTACTCGTTTGACAGAAAATCTGCCCCGGTTGATTAGAAAAAAACCCCCAGAAAATCCGCGCTCCTGTATGGCCGCTTGAGGAGCGAACTAGCTGACCATTCCCTAACCATTCGCTAACCATTCACACTTATCATCATTCAACCATTCCTGATCATTCAACTTTGTAAGAGATTTAATAAACTTTCAACAGGGCCGGATTTACTTACTTGCCGCCCATGGGCCGCCTGTATTTTGCCGCCCCTTTCTCATTAGTTTTGAAACATCAATAAAAACCATCAAGTGAACGTGCCGGAGGGAAAGGGGTGCATAAGACGCATTTACTCGTGTTGGACACATTTTTTGTAAAAGCCCTGTCAACCTGCTGTCAACACTTCTAGCAAAAGTTCTTCACGCCGACCGACCGCTGCCTGCTGCACGAACTGTGTTCGACGCAATGCGTGAAGTATTCATGCACTCAAGTAGGCGCTATGCGTTTTGCGCCGCCCGCTGCTGTCCGCATTGTCTTTGACGCAATGCGTGAAGTATTCTTGCAGTCTTGTAGGCGCTAATGTATGTTACATGCCGACCGCCGCGCAGCGCCGAGGGTTTCTCCTTTTCATCTCTAGGCCTCGGTCATCATTGCTCTCTGCGCCGCGCCGTTCTAGGCCAAATTCCGTGTTCGGTTTCTCTCTTAGTCTTAACTCGACTAATTGAAGGTGTTGTCTATTGTAAAACAGAAAGACGACGAAATTAGCGACGTACTCTCAGAAAATGAGAGATTTTGTCACCTTTTCTCGTTTGTAATTTTTTTTACTGAATCCGATTTTTCTTTATACCTACATTTAAAAAAATTGCAAAATTTGCCGCCCCCTGAATTTGCTGCCTTAGGCCGCGGCCCATGTGACCACCCCCTAAATCCGGCCCTGAATTTTAATACTCTCCACTCAATTGCTGGCACAGGAATGGCAAAAAGAGTTTATCTCGGTGGTTTCACATTTTTTCTGAAAAGTAACAATTTAACAAATATTCTCTTCTTACAACCATGGCATATGAATTGTATTAAGTTTTGAAATTTTTGGGAGCAGCTCAATTTTTTCCCCCATGCATTTGCGAAACAGAATTTCTGCTCGAACTGCTATCTGTTTTTCGAGCTTCGAGATGCGCTTCGTCAAAACTTGTCCGTCAATTTAAAATTCGCGCTTCTTTTCCCATCGATGACGTACAACAAAAACAAAAAAAAAGGTCGAATAAACACCATTCAACAATAAACTTTCTTAGGTTATGTTTACATTGCAAACGTGACCGAAATCCCGAAAAGTTGCAGATAGTGCAAAAGCTGTGCTTTACACGTGGCTTATACTCTTTTCTAGTGGTAAGAATTTATTAGCAAAATGTCAGAGCTTAGTGATAAGATTTTAAATTATTTAGAAACTTCACATCCTGTGGACACGTTAAAATTAGCTTCTACATTCGAGGAAGACCACCAAAAAGTGATAGGTGCCATCAATAGTTTACTTGCTTTAGATGACATTATCACCGCAGAGAATGTCTCCAGTAAAAGATGGGAGCTAACAGAAGAAGGGAAGCTTGTCTGTGATAAAGGTAGCTATGAAGTCCACCTTTTCAATGCTATTCCGTCCGAGGGAATTAATCAAAAACAGATAATGGCAGATGTTCCTAATTCGAAAGTTGGCTTTGCGAAAGCAATGTCTAAAGGCTGGATTCTCTACGACAAAAGCACCAACCTAGTCACACGAAAAGTTGATTCAGTAGTAGACGAAGTGCAAGCAGATCTAAAATCAATCCAAGATGGAAAGTCGGAGGCAGTTACAGACAGTAACAAGCAAGATTATAAAAAGCGGAAATTAATTTTGGAAGTCACTGTCAAGAGTTTCCTCGTGAACAAAGGGAAGAATTTTACTACCACCATTGAGAAACCAGAAGCAGATCTCACTCATGATATGATCATGTCAGGGTCCTGGAAAGCTAAGACTTTCAAGCCGTACAATTTTGACGCACTTGGCGTTGTTCCTCCAAGCGGTCACCTGCACCCTTTGATGAAAGTTCGGCAAGAATTTCGCCAGGTAACTATTAAAATATTATTATAAACTCTCTTCTTTTCAGTTAAATATCATAGCAGTTATCGAATATGCAATGGGTGTCAAGTTATTCACATTGTAAGCATTGAAAGAGATTGCATATTTATTTTAACACTGTATTTTATGGTGATTGTATCAATTTGACCCGGATATTCACCTAAAAGCCCTCAATACTTTCATTGAGAGTAATTTCATAATTGAGTATCCAATCTTCTCTGTGTCAAAATGACTAAAAGTAGTGGAAAAGATTATATGCAGTTACAGTAGCAGTGTGTCGTGAATTAATCAAGGAGTTTAATTATAAATTATTGTCAATAATTGCAAAACGAAACTGGTATGAGTGTGCCTCAGTAATAATTTTAGGATACTGGTGGCATCTCAACAGTGTAAATCCGTAATCACATATCTCGTTTGCAGTGTTTGAAAATCTCCTCTCTTTTATTATTGTTTCAAAAGTGAAAAATTTGACATTATTCCTGGAAGTTTTCGCTGAGTTATCTTCGTACTCAGAAGAAGAGTCATGTCAGTTTTTAAGAATTGTTGTTGAATAGTATTCCACTTAAAAAATGAAGTATAATAGGAAGTCTGCAAAGCCTCAAATCAAGATACGTGGTTGCTGAATTACACGGTCAATATGCTCTAATTAATTCTCCTTTTCAAGTATTTTCTTCTACAACCTGAAAATAAAGTTTACAATTGTTCAGATTCAAAAGAAGAGGCTTTGAATTGAATGAAATGATCTTTGTAATTGTTGATGCTCTTGATGGTTGTTAGAAATTAGTAGAAGACAAGAGCGGGTGCTCCTGTGTAGGGATTTGTGAAAATTCAATCCAATTTGATGTACTTAATTTGTCTATTTATCATCAGCAGAAAAAACACAATGAGAAACTTTTCCTTCCTAGCAGAAGAAAATCTCAGTGGTTGAAGGGAAGGAGAAAATCTCGTACAATGTAAAAAATCACAACCTTCCATAGATGAGACATTTGTTTTACCCTTGCCTAGTTACTATCATATTAGTGTGGGTGAGGGAATTTGAGGCTGACAATGAGCTGAAAATTCATATTTGACCAAGAGAAATATTCTATCACTCTGCACTTAAAAAGAAAGGAATTCTGCATTTATGCAAGTTATCTAATGGGGTTGCTATTCAGTCTCAAATATAATCACTCTTAAAATAATTTTCAAGTTTTGCTCACCTTGTCTCATGAACGTTGTATGTTTTCAGATTTTCCTGGAGATGGGTTTCTCTGAAATGCCAACCAACAACTATGTAGAAAGCTCCTTCTGGAATTTTGATGCTTTATTCCAACCTCAACAGCATCCAGCTCGTGATGCTCATGACACCTTTTTTATCTCAGACCCAGCCACCAGCGATAAGTATCCTGCAAAGTACGCAGAGCGTGTCTGCAGGGTCCACTCCAAGGGCGGTTATGGATCGCAAGGATACGGATACAAATGGTCAAAAGATGAAGCACAGAAAAATCTTTTACGTACTCATACAACAGCTGTAAGTGCAAGGATGTTGTATGCCTTAGCCCAGAAAGAATTTAAACCAGTCAAATATTTCAGTATTGACAAGGTCTTCAGGAATGAGACATTAGATGCCACTCACCTAGCAGAGTTCCACCAAGTGGAAGGCGTAATCGCTGATGTTGATTTATCTTTGGGCCATTTAATAGGTGTTCTGGATGAATTTTTCAAGAAGTTGGGAATCACGCAACTGCAGTTCAAGCCCGCTTATAATCCCTACACAGAGCCAAGTATGGAAATATTTTGTTTTCACCCAGGGTTGAACAAGTGGATTGAAGTTGGAAATTCTGGAATTTTTAGGCCTGAAATGCTGCTTCCAATGAATTTACCTGGGAATGTCAACGTTATTGCGTGGGGACTGTCATTAGAACGACCGACTATGATTAAGTATCACATAAATAACATTAGAGATCTAGTAGGTCCAAAGGTAGATTTGAAAATGGTTGAAAATAATCCTATCTGCAGGCTTGACAAATGAGAGATCTTTATATTTTATTATAGGTATTTAAGTATTTTGGTGAGAGCACTGTTACAGTTACAGACACAGAACAGTTTTAGAGCGCAAAGAAAAATAAAGAGTTTTCATAAGTACTCAATGAAACTATCAAGTAAGGTATAACTTACATTCTTAAAAAGTTAAAAATGCCTGACAAGAACCTCTCACCCTCTTCTCATAAGTATTGCTTTAAATCAAAGCATTAACTGAATAAAAAATTTCTGGTGAGGAAGGCACCCCCCCCCCCCCCCCCACTCCTCCCTCTGAAGACAATTTCTTGATTTTCATATGGTTGTAAGGAAGCAAAGACAGTTGATGTGCGAGGTTTCTTTGCCCTCTGAATTGGCATCAACTCCTACCCAACTTTTTCCCATGAGTGTACTAACATTTTCTAATTATTTTCATTCCCCATATCTTTTTCGTTTGTCAACTGGGGCATGCTGATATTTATTTGAGCAAATACTCAGTTTTGAGCATTTTGACTTTATGTCGCAGTAGATGGACATGGAGATCTTGCTGCCTCACTGTTTCATAATCGTGTACAGCAATGCTAATAGAAAATGTTAATGGCCCGCTACTTGTCAGCACTTGCTGCTTTTAAACTTTTTGATTCAATAATTATTGTTTTTGCTGTCAAAACTCATTTCATGAAAGGTAATAATTATTGACTCTGAATTGAACTTCATTGTCTGCAAGGTCTTTAGCTTGTCACCGTATTTTTTTCTTTTCTCATCAGTGGAAATAACCTGAACGTCAAATTTCTGATACCATAGTTTATTTTCAAGCCTGATTGATGGAAGGATAGCCCTCTCTACCACTAGAGATAATAGTGAATTTCATTACCAATTGAAACGCCTGAATGAGTATTAGTAGAACTACATCACACAATGCCTTAATTTCTTTTCCTACTTAACTTTCTCGCCAGAGAACTGAACAACTCCACTGATTTATTGATTGTTTTTGTAATCTACAACAAATTTACATTATGTGTGAAGGCAGTGTGCTGCTTCATAAAAAATGAGAGGAGCTAAGGCAAATCCGTCTAATAAATTTTCAAATTGAATAGGTCATTTAGTGTGAACCCTTGCTGTTTTTTCTGATTATCAAGAGTTAATTTTAATGTCACCTCAGTGAAGGTGTCAGTATTGATGCGAAAAGTTCAGGGGTAATTTAATCTATCACTCTCGATTGTGTAGCATACCTTGTTTTAAAATTTTAAGGTGACAATCGGATTGAATCCTTTTTCTTGACCTTTCGAAGACATGTGATTTATTATCCATTTTGTACCTACAAAAGTAAATGCTATTATACACTGTGAATTACCTACATATTCGCTATTATTTTATTTTATTTCCTTATCCAAAGCAAATTTGTCAAGATCACTTCTATAAAGTATCATGCCTTCATGAAATGAGGAGTACTTTCGCAAAACCTGCCTTGTCCAGTGTCCACTTTTCATTGAAAATGAGTTTGTCCTCGAAACAAATTCTGAACGTTTACCTGCATCTGGGAGCAAATGTGTCAAATTCCAATTAAATAAAAGTATAAAAAACAAGTATTGCAGCATAATCAATGGCATCGCGAGAGTGCCTTTTTCATTTCTCTCAAAATGGAGGAGAGAAGATAAGTCAAGTTTTGCGAAAGTGGTCCTCAAATCTCTCTTGAGAATTTTGAATTATCTCTCATTCAATTTATCCAACTATTGCAGTAACCAATTCAAACAAAACTTAAAGCTGAAATACTGCCAACGTGTGTTACTTGTGGTAAAATTTACCCATCTTTCTTTGCCAAACAGGGGAACTCTTTATTTTCAGTTAGTGGCAAGTGAGATTAGGTTTCCCGGGTCCGGTCTGAACCTTATGGTGTGAGAGGAGGTGATGAATTTGGTCTGCAAAGTTGCTCCCTCCAGACTACATATCAGCGGTGTAAGTCGGCAATCACAAGACTCTGTTTGCATCGTTGCATACCTGATTCTTTTAACAGAAAAATACTCAACGTCGATTCAATAAAACTGCCACGATTTTTCTTCTCTGTGTGAAGAAAATTCTGCAAAAACTTCAAGGAATGACGTCAATTTGCTCTCCTTTTAGAAAATAACATAGAGGCGGAGTTTTTCAGACACCGCAAAACGAGATTGTGATCGCGGACTTACGCAATATTACTTTAATGCAGGAAAAGAAACAATTTTTTGTTACTAATTTTGCAATATTTTTTCAAATGCATTTTGTCCAAATTTAATGCAGAAATTTTAAGACAAATTACCATGAATGACTAAAGTGTGGATCTTGAATATTCCAACTGAGTTGAATTTTCCTAATTTCAGAACAGATATTTCATTTCATTGCTGTCAGTGAATCCATCGCTCATCAATGGCTGAGTCGAAAAATGCATATCCCTGAGAATGATGTTGCAAATCTCCGCTCACACCTTTCTCTTTTATAAAAAATCGTTCAACCATTAGTTTTCCATGAAATTGTCATTCCCCTTAAAATAAAAATGGTTTTAGAAAATTTTATGGAGATATTTTTGGCTAACTTCTGATAAAATAATTGAACATGAACAGAGACTTAAGAAAGCTTCATTAAAGATTCGCAATTATCTCTATCTTGGCAATGGATAGATATATAGACAGAGAAGGGATTTGAATCAGTGAGAACGAAAACACACCAACTCAATAACTTGAAAATGCTCAACTTCCAGTAAGGACTGTTAATTTACATAAAGGTCATTGACGCTAGCGCATCTGTTCCAACTTGGACCATTAAAGTGTCCATAAGTACTTGTCTTTCGAAAGCAAAACTCTTTTTCTTTAACTAACATCTTTCATCTTCACCTACTGTGCAGTTTTAGGTGTCTTGATAATTTTCATTTTTCCGAGTTGGTGTGTTTTCGTTCTCACCGATTCATTTATCCTCAAGACCAATCGCTAGGATCGACATTAGACCGTCATGTTGTTATAAATGATTTTTCTCTCATGGTCATGTCGACTCTGTCACAGGAAATTCAGTACAAATATTGGGAAACAACTCAAGAGGCTAACTTTTAACAGGGGAAAGGGGAATATATCAATTTCTCTTCATTTAAATATTTCTAACTAATTAAGAGCCTGAGAAATGAAAGCCTCTCCTCATATTCATTACAAAATATGGATGGACAAACATGCCAGTCTGCTTATTGCTAGTTGGTAGGTTAGTGTAAATGAGGCTCTCAATTGTCAGAACTTTCAATATCAGATGAGTTCACCGTTATATAATGTTGCGAAACAAAGCACCATTGGCTGGCCTGCGCTAATCCTTCATCAGTACAGGCCAGAGGTGACGCAATTGCTTGCAAGTATAGAATAAACCACCGCCAATTTATTTTATGCAAGTTGGAAAATATTTTCTCCAGAGTAACAGCATTCTTGAAAATTGAGTTCAGAAAAGTAACCCAGGAAACTGACCAAAAATAAAAAAAAGGGCCAATTTTAAATTTTCAAAATTTATTAAAAACTTTTGTAGGTCTTAGATCTATAAATCACAACAATCAATATTCCGGTTGAACAGCTGGCAGGGTCTTATGCATTCTTGAGAGGTGCTCAGAATGGTCAGAGTACGGTGATTTGATGAGGGGAGTTTCACGCCACAAGTCTGGTGTCAGGAAAGCATAAGTTTCTGAGATGGCAACATAGGTAGCTTTGGCTGAAACAGAAAAACAAGTGAAGATAAGAAAATTTGATTCGGTTGGCCTAAGAACTAAATTTTAAGCAGTCAAAGAAGTTGAAGATGCCATTTAAGTTGAAACTCTCTGATAATTAAGTCGGTCAGTTGCAAAAGGACTCAGGCGCCAAAAATGAGAATTCGAGAAAAATGGTAGTAACTGCTGTATTTGACCCCTTACAAATCTCAGAGCTCTAAAATATTAAAGCGATGAATTAATTAATCACACCGTATTAGGCAAGGTAAATGTTTCCATTAATGGACCTTTCATCTGATTTTACTTGATTGCAGTGAACTGAGAGGTCAAAGAACCCTGCACACTCCTTGTGGGAAAGTGCATCACAATCGATTTTTGTACTTACTTGCACCAACTTTCTACGATGCACTATGTTTGCACAAAATGCCTGGAATGCTCCACTTATTCGGCGATAAAGAGTCAGAAAGAACAAGACATACCAGAACAGGTCTGATGCAAATAAGGAAAAACTTTGCGAGTGTGTGTCCCCTTATCGATTCCCACCTACCCTGGGGCTATGCCGAAAGGCGGGCAGAATCCAAGATAAGACTGCCACTCAGTGCTGGAGTTCCCCTGATTTCTTTGCTAACACACAGCTGACCGTTCACCCGAGTGCCGAAATGAGGAATCCTTCGGACTCTTTAACGCCAAGTAATTGTAATTGAAGCGTTCCGGGCAAATTGCACGAAGACAATGCATCGTAGAAAGTTGGCGAAAAGATGACTTCTGATCAACATCTTGAGATGAATTGAATGCAGTAAAACAATTAAAAATTGATCGTGGTGCAATTTCTCATAAGGAGTGTGCGGGGTCCTTTAAAATCAGAGACACATTGATGTGAATTACGAACCTTTTTATTGACAGATGTTTGATTGCATTTAGTCAGGATACTTTCCTGGTCTCAGCTTAATGTTGATAGAAGTACAAATGAAACTTACCGAAGTTACCAAGAGTACCAGTGGAGCCCTTAGCTGAGGTGTAACAGTCATTGATACCAGCCATAGTCAACAGCTTCTTTGGGACAGGTGCGCTGACAATACCAGTACCACGAGGTGCGGGAATTAGACGCACTTGGACGGACCCACACTTACCGGTGACCTGAAAGAATGACAAAAATTAAAAAGTGTTACCAAGTACATAAGAAGCACATTTGGGAAAGCTTAGCGTGTTTTCCACTTTTTGATCTTCGATCAAAGATTGCACTTTGATTTGAAAAATTGAGTTGGGCACTGTATTTACTTAGCAAGTTAGTAAACAGAAAAATCTTGGCGGCAAATCATAAAATATACTTTTGTAATACATGGGTTCAAGAGATAATTAATGAGGGTCCAAGATACTTTATACAGAGAGAATCCTTTTAAAAGAAATTGAAAACGGTAGTATTGTTGAGCAGTGACTTTTCACCAGAAGAATACATAAAACTAGAAAAATAGTCTGCACATTCAAACAAACAGTAGTAGTAAAATAAAAAATCGAGAGATGAAGATCTATTTTCTGTAAGGGAAGGCACAGAAAACGCAGCTGTCTTAGAAATGATCATAAGAGAACAAGGAGGAAGCGAGTTCTCTGGATAGATGGGAAGTAGACAACAATTTTCTTTAACTGTTGTTACGTACTTGGAACTTGTTGGATGCTTCTCTTAAAGTTATTAATTTAATATAAATTCAAGTTTGTCTGGCTCTGTCCTCACGCATTCATGTCATTTCTCTGAAATAATAATTTCCAAAAATAGTCGGGGGGCATACGTAATCCCGTGTGCAGATTCGTGAAGGCATATTGTGTGATACATCAATCTCTTCGTTTTGATGTCTAGAAAAAGAAAATCGATGATGGCCATCTCAAATTTCATACAAACCCCCCCAAATTCAAGATGGCGGCCAAAATGGCGGTTTTGGGGTAAAAAAATTTAAAGTTTGCAACTACGTCGTGTCGAGTGTCGTTTCTTATGTATTTTTGATCGTAGAATCCGAATTTCCAGTCAAAAGTTACTCCAAAGGTCATTTTTAGGCCAAAATCCAAGATGGCGTCCAAAAATACCTCTTACGGGTACTAATTTGCCTACTCGGGTCTACATGCATTGTGAGGTATCAATTATTAGGTTTTCAGGGTCGTAGAGTCCGAAAATGAGGTCCATTTTCCGCTGCGGCTCTCAAGAAACCTTAAATCAAAGATGGCGCCCAAAATGGCCCCCGGTCTTGCGGATGAAACTGCCATTTAAGGCAGCTATAACAAACAATACGTTCAAAATTAAGTTTCTTGGGTCAAGAAGTTCGAATAGGAGATCAGATGTTTACTCCTACAAAAAATTAAGCCTCCGAATCGAAAATCACTGCCGACATTGTTGCCAGTTAAAGGCGCAGACCGGTAAATGACTGATATTAAGAGATTTGCCGAAGGAGGGGTTTCGATAAGGGCCGTTGTTGGGCCCATACCCTGAAATTCTTCAATTTCACGATTGTTTGCTCATTTAAAGTCTAAAGTTTGCGGAATGTATCATGATTTGGTCATTTCCGGTCTATTTAGGGGTCTAATACCGGCCTAAACATGAGACTAAAGGCCGATTTTGGCGAAAAATGCGGGTTTTTTTACATTCGACGTGACGCTGTTTCTGAACGATCCCATCATCGGAGGAGATTGTTGTCCTTCAAGTACGTTCATTAAGGATGTAAGATAGTCACTTTGCCCAATTTTCGTTGATGGCAAACCTTGCGCTCAGAGTTAAAACGATCTTCTTAGAATTTTCTTGTTTTTCATCATTATTTAAAATGGCATAAAAAGGGCGACTCATCTTAAACCAGAAATAGATTCATTGGTGGAAAATGTACGCAGCTGGTCATAACTGTCCTCCAAAAAATTAATGGATTAAAGCCTCCCCCCCCCCAAAAAAAAGGAAAACCTGTGTTGCCATATTTTATTGCCTAACATCACAGAAAACCGCGTGATTATTTCAGTATTTGGAGGCTGTTCTTCGTAGAGCACATTTAGCAAAGCTCAAAACCCTTGATTTTTCATACGTTACGATCGCATGATTAGTGATTATATAAATGCAATGGAGATGTTGCATGTGTGAGGAATTTGCAATTTGACTATGGATTCTTATGTAGAAGTTCGCGAGAAACTCGATGGTGCCAATGGCTTTCTCTGAAATCAACTTCCAAGCTCAAAAAAACCTCTTAAGTTGAGACCAAAATGGAGGGGATATCCCGCGCTATCCTGAGAGTCCACCTGTACATCAAGACAAACTCTCCATGCAAAGATAGGGAGCAAATACATTAGCAAGGTTGCTGTGTTTTCTGTTGTGGAGTCCCCAAATAAAGTGGTAGCCCTGTGAATGTACTTGCTCCTTATCTTTGCATAGAGAGTGTGTCTTGATTTAGGGGTGGACTCTCAGGATAGTGTGGGATATCCCCTCCATTTCGGGCTCAACTTGAGACCTTTTTTTGAGCTTGGGAGTTGATTTCAGAGAAAACCAGTGGCACCATCGTGTTTCTCCCGAACTTTTACGTAAGAATCAACAGTTAAATCGCAAATTCCTCACATATGCGAAATCTCCATTATCCATCATTATTTTGTTTATTACATGTAAGTATCTGTAGAGGTTCCCATCGTGGCGCGGCATTCACACATATCATCGGTAAAAATCGAGAAAAATCCTAGTTGGCCGAGGATTTCAGCCACTTTCTCGGAATATGCGCATTTTGAAATAAATATGTAAGACTCGAATTACAGTATTCAGAGATGCAAGTAGATTATATTTTGTGTTAGTGATAATTGCTTTAAAATTTTGGGCTTGTAGGTGGCCTATTATCTTACGAATTTTGTACACGATATTTACAAACGAAGGTGCAACTTTGAATCATTGACCGTGATCTGAGATCCGAAAAAAAGTAAGCCATGTGTCAGAATCACGAGTGCTTAATGCTGATTTTTCACCACCCTGACAATCCCTGCCCCCCGCCATTCTTATTGCCTGCGATCGATCAGAATTCTGCTTCCTAAAAATAATTTGAAACCCTGGTTTCCCTCACTTCTGCCCAGCCACCTAACAGCTTCCTCATCAGTTGCTTCTTCATCAGGTTCCCTGTCTCCTGCATCAAACCTCTTGTTTGGAGCTGCCATGTCATAATTTTAGAGAAATGACGCATGCATGTTAATCTAGCAAACGCTTAGTTTTTCTGGCTCAGACTTATGTCTGTAATGAGTGAGGCACCAAATGAAAGATGCAATATGAGCTCAGCAGTTGACGACTCTATCGCCCACTTTGCACAGGTAATACCACCCGGATAAGAACATGTTCTATGTCGTTTTGCCTTTTAACCAATATTACACATTTTATTGCAATGAATTTTTAGTTTTGGATAAGGCTAACATTCTCAGCGCGATGATAGTAGAATTCTCATTTCCGTTTCAATGTTGCATTTTTCTCGATTTTTACCGATGATATGTAGGAATGCCGCGCCACGATAAGAGTCTCTATAGATACATACATGTAATAAACAAAATAATGATGGATAATTGCATTTATATAATCAATAATCGTAACGTATGAAAAATCAAGGGTTTTGAGCTTTGCTAAATGTGCTCTACGAAGAACAGCCTCCAAATACTGAAATAATCACGCGGTTTTCTGTGATGTTAGGCAATAAAATATGGCAACACAGGTTTTCCTTTTTTTTGGGGGGGGGGGGGTTTAATCCATTAATTTTTTGGAGGACAGTTATGACCAGCTGCGTACATTTTCCACCAATGAATCTATTTCTGGTTTAAGATGAGTCGCCCTTTTTATGCCATTTTAAATAATGATGAAAAACAAGAAAATTCTAAGAAGATCGTTTTAACTCTGAGCGCAAGGTTTGCCATCAACGAAAATTGGGCAAAGTGACTATCTTACATCCTTAATGAACGTACTTGAAGGACAACAATCTCCTCCGATGATGGGATCGTTAAGAAACAGCGTCACGTCGAATGTAAAAAAACCCGCATTTTTCGCCAAAATCGGCCTTTAGTCTCATGTTTAGGCCGGTATTAGACCCCTAAATAGACCGGAAATGACCAAATCATGATACATTCCGCAAACTTTAGACTTTAAATGAGCAAACAATCGTGAAATTGAAGAATTTCAGGGTATGGGCCCAACAACGGCCCTTATCGAAACCCCTCCTTCGGCAAATCTCTTAATATCAGTCATTTACCGGTCTGCGCCTTTAACTGGCAACAATGTCGGCAGTGATTTTCGATTCGGAGGCTTAATTTTTTGTAGGAGTAAACATCTGATCTCCTATTTCAACTTCTTGACCCAAGAAACTTAATTTTGAACGTATTGTTTGTTATAGCTGCCTTAAATGGCAGTTTCATCCGCAAGACCGGGGGCCATTTTGGGCGCCATCTTTGATTTAAGGTTTCTTGAGAGCCGCAGCGGAAAATGGACCTCATTTTCAGACTCTACAACCCTGAAAACCTAATAATTGATACCTCACAATGCATGTAGACCCGAGTAGGCAAATTAGTGCCCGTAAGAGGTATTTTTGGACGCCATCTTGGATTTTGGCCTAAAAATGACCTTTGGAGTAACTTTTGACTGGAAATTCGGATTCTACGATCAAAAATACATAAGAAACGACACCCGACACGACGTAGTTGCAAACTTAAAATTTTTAACCCCAAAACCGCCATTTTGGCCGCCATCTTGAATTTGGGGGGGTTTGTATGAAATTTGAGATGGCCATCATAGATTTTCTTTTTCTAGACATCAAAACGAAGAGATTGATGTATCACACAATATGCCTTCACGAATCTGCACACGGGACATATGTTTTGTTACGTATGCCCCCGGACTAAAATAGGAAAATGTGAACTCTTGCAAAATCAATTACTCAGATACTGTTATCACATTTACAGTCAGCATTCTGATGCATAGACTGCCCATATTCCGGAAACTGTCAAGTAGGATTTAGATGAGGAAACAACAATGAAGTGCTGAGTGAATTTACAAGAAGTAAGAGATTCATACCTTGCAAGGAACAGTGTGAGGTTTACCGATCTTGTTACCCCAGTAACCTCGTCGGACAGGAATGACTGAGAGTTTGGCCAGAACGATGGCACCTCGGATAGCAGTGGCTACTTCTTTACTGCACTTGACGCCCAATCCAATGTGGCCATTATGGTCTCCAATGGCTGAAAATAAAAAAAAAAATAATTTAATTCTTCTATTCTTAGAACTGAGTTCCACAAACATACGCTCCTGGAGTGCCTCAAGAAGTTACAGCTGCTTTGTTCACAAAAACTGAAATCAGCAGGAAGCAGCCAATGCAAAAATTCAGCTTGAATAAGTACTATCACAATTAAAGTACTCTACAAAGATGATGAAATTGATATGAAAGCAATGGTTACATGAGGCTGAGGACCCCCTAGATTAATTCTTCCAGGTAATTTGAGATATTCGGATAATTCTTCGAGAGAGTTCAGCAGCAAAATCACAACAAAACATAAAAATAGGGAAAAATTCTACTTACCAACAAAAGCCTTGAAACGGGTCCTTTGACCGGCACGGGTCTGTTTCTGAACGGGCATAATTTTCAATACTTCATCTTTAAGGTAGGGTCCAATGAAGAAGTCTACGATTTCACATTCCTGAAAACAAAAAACATGGATGGTCAGATATTTCAACCACATTATATGAGGTTTCAACACTTCAAAGAGTCTTCAGAGAGAGAGAGAGAGAGGGTTTCAAGAGAGTTATAAGATTCCTCATTTTAAGAGATGCTTGGGATCAAAATACTTAGTACAAATTACAAGAATATCGCTTTGGATTGCATGCATTGTAAGAAATGATCCAGGTATTAGAAAAATGTTGTTGGATTCTTTCAAATGAATGAAACAGAAGAATTTCGGCAGGGGGAAATTCAAAGAAAGACAAAAAAATTGGATCAAATGGGACTGCGGCACAAAGTTTTAAAATAAAAAGTTACCTTATCAGGAGGTACTTAGAATACCTACGTTTATCAGGGTTTTTTTTTATTTTAAAAATACATTATTATTCAATTGAATTTAGCTGAGAACATGGCTTTCTAAGACGCCAAAAATCCAACCACATTGCAGAAGAATATCATGTCAAGAGATTGCGCAACATTAAAAGAAACAGTGACAGCCAGATATCTATTTACTTGCGTCTCTACGTGTATTTTCCATTCACAATTGTAAGAAGATGTTAGGTATCTAAACTATGCTCTCAATAATATCGCTGATTGAAATGTTAAATCAACAGCAGGCAATCCCTGACTCATGTAACAGCCACATTCTGCTGAATACATGAGAAATATATAGAAAAATTAACATCACAGCAAGTTACTCCACAAATTAGGATCATTGAGGATCTTAACGTGAAAGATTGAGTGTGGCAATCATTTGAAATTGTTTACTTTCCAATTTTTCCCAGATTCTTCTCTCTTCAATTGCTGAGTTGTACTGGTCAGAATAAAATAGATAAAAAATCACGATGGCACATGTAACATTAATTACAGTAAGTAAGTAATGTGATATCAACATAAGTAAAATTTATAGATGCTCACCTTGATGGGAAGAGAGAAAAAGTAGATCTCTTCAAGGGATCGAATTTTGCCATCCCTCACTAAACGTCCCAGCTTGGTGACTGGGATCCAGTCCTTTTCTCCTTCCTTTCCACGGCCTCTTCCACGACCGCGGCCTCTACCGCGACCTCGTGGACCTCCTCGTCCACCACCGCCTCCTCTCGCTCCAAAGCCTCCTCTAAATCCTCCACGTGCGGCTGGCGCTGCGTCCGCCATTGTAAAGGTTTGAACTGAAAAAATCAGTGAAAAAGCTGTAAGTATTTACCAAGAGGTAATTCATTACATTGTCCATTGTATATAAAATAGAAGCAAAAGAAAAGTGCCTGCATTTCTAAGTCCTTTCAAAATCTTCACAGAGTAGAGGCAAGACTACAGTAGTCCTGTCTAGCCAGGTACTCAGCATAGAAATAATCCATACGTTTTAAATTACAGGGAAACTCTTAATCGCGCCGCAAAAGAGTAGGAGATAACATCATTCGGAACATGGGATCCTCATCATACTGAGCTGATAACGGAATTCCTGAAGAACAGGCTACAAGGATTTAGGTCACGGAGGACTGGTGAGGATGAAAGAATGTGCCATTGCTGAAGGGATCTTATGATCTACAACTACACGGTATACAGGTACATAAGCTTAAACATTGGCCCGACATGTGAGGAAACTCAGCACAAGCTCATCCATGTCAAAATGGTCAAAGGCGGATGAAAAAGTTGAATAAACAAGTTCAAAGGAAAGGATAGTAATAAATACTCGAACGAAAAGGAAAATGGGGCGAAAGAAATCCTGAGATAGCGCCGATAGCGGAAAACCACTGGCGCCACGTGTTACCCGCGGTGGCCGATTAACATAAACTTGAGTAGGAATTGGGTAAAGGGCTGAGGAAAAGTAGTGGTTGAAAGAAACAGTGATGAAGCTCAAGAAAAATTGGAAGCATGAGGATAAGAATGAATTTAGAGAAGGAAAATTAAATGAAAAACTTACATCACGGGAGTAAATTCACCAGCACTTCAGGCCAAAATGGTTGTCATTGCTTGGTTCATTATCATGTTCCTTTTCCCCTTCACAACTGTTCCGGTTTCACGAAAAATTTGACGCCATGTTGCATGTCGTAATACTTAATGTAATGAGCTTGGCTTTAGAATCATAAATTGAAATTTAAATTACAAATAAAAATGTCCTGCATAAAATCTAGATACAAAGTAGAGAAAATGATGAGTGAATTTTTTTGGTTAATAGAGTGATGTTGCGATTTGCGAAATTTACCTGGTGAAAGACGGCAACAGTGGAATTGTAAGGAATTATTGAAATTGAACAATTGAACTAAAATGAAATGAGAAACATTTGGAGGTTATGTTTTCACCGCTACTGATAGGATAGGAACCAAAGACATAAAGACGGAGCACTAAAAGCAAAAAATGAAGCTTCTAGAGCTTCTTTTCAATCACCTCTACTATTGGCTAGAGGATTGGCGGCGAAATCGGGACAAGTTTGAATTCAAATGTAGGGCGGGAACTAATAAATAAAATTGCGGAAACAAAGTATTTTAGGTTGATTTTTGCCCAAATTCAGGTACACACTCATATTTTATTAACTTTAGGTTAGTTTCGGTCCGTCGTCGACCGACTGATTTCATTTGGGAGTAACGTAGATCTAGAACTGTAACGGCCTGTTTGAACCTGCAGAACCACCATAAGCAGAAGAAAAACTAACTTTATCTGAGATTACTGCCTGTTACCGAGCAAAAGTAGGTGTAATATATTAGGACGCAGACCGAACTTTCTTAATATAATCGTTTTAAGCATTTAAAACACGTTTCGAAGAAGAAATAAGGAAAAATCAAGAGGACAAGTTCAAATCAAATTTCCGTTTGCCGCCATGGATTCCCGCGCTCATTTACACACTCACACAAACGCGCAGCGCCGAACCTAGCTTCACTTTTTCCCCGTGCTTTTAGATACGAGCACTCCGTCTTTATGTCTTTGGATAGGAACATAGGAATGATAACGAGTGATACCTACATAAAATTAGACATTAGACTCAAATAACTAAGTACAAAGTTTTTAAGCACTTCGCACCATACTGCCTGATTATTTTTAAGTTTCTGTATTTATAAACGTTTCATTTTGTGTCTCCCCTCTTGCTTATGTCTATATAGTGTTGATCATCAGTCGACCTGCTCGGACGGAACTGAATTGACACTATGACTGTTTTCCATTTTGTGAACTGTCTGGCTTTGGCCTGTGTACCTTACTATTTCATTTACAAATATTCAGTTGTGTAAGTAAAACCATTCACCCTCTTAGCTTCATCATTTTTCATGCTTCTTTCAGAGCTATTTTGTTTCCAAGAAGTAAGTACCAGAAAGATGGCCTTGTGAAAATTTTGTTGTCGTTCGTGATTGCTGCGACATCCACCAAATCAATACTCTGTTAGGTCCCACTAAATGTCAATTTTTCCAAATAATAGCAACTGCTTAAAGTTCCCTCAAAGTACACATCAGGATAAAGCTATCCAAATGTCACTGATTTCAGAGGTCTACTGACTTGTTCTGTTCGAGGTCTGTTCAATAAGAAACCAGATTTTGATTGTAACTAGCCCACTGTGCGTCCGAATTAAATTTTCTTGGACTTTCCTCATAGCTGAAAATATATTTAAGAATGCCACATTTATAAATTTGAAAAATCTTAATTAGGTTTGTCGATACAAGGCTTGAAGTAAGGCAACCTCATGAATGTTCTGCGATTTTCATGTTTGACCGAAGTTGTCGCACTTTTTTGTCTTGCACTACCATTTTCAACCCACACGGATGATTGGAGTTTCATCTTCATATCGTGATGGTACACTCAAGTTTCATCACTGGAAATTATCCTATCCTAAAATGTAGGATCGTTGTTAGAACGTTCAAGAAGCTCAAGGAAAATCGACACTGCTGGATTTTTGTTCAGTGGACAACAATCGCAGTATAAGTTTAGCTGTGACTGCGAAACTGTATGTGCAGAGCCTTCAGAAATATCACGGTGTACAGCAAGCTCGAAAATCGTTACATGACCATCTTCGAGCACTTCTGCCCGCTTTTTGTCAATGTCAAGTGTCACGTCAATATCTTCCGTCAAATGTCAGTTGCTGTTGATGGTTGATTCCTGTGCACCTCATCTACGACGGACTTGTGACAACTTTTGAACCTTTTAAATCACTTGAAACACTGGGAAAGACTCATACGATGATGTTGGTAAACTTTACTTAGCATATTTGAAGTTTTAGTGCCGGGGGTACTGAGTCTAAAACGAAATTTAATGGACTATCAGTGATTGCACCAAAATAATCGCAGAATCCACCTGACTTACTCGTATTTAAGGTGACTCAGAATGAGCACTGATCAAGATTAACAAAATCTGTGAATCTAGCGGTCTCTAGTATGTTATCAGCTATCAGGAAAGACCAAGAAAATCTAATTCGGACGCACGGTGGGCTAGTTATTACCAAAATCTAGTTTCTTATTGAATAGACCTCGTAAGTAAATTGTTGCTAACTCAGATTGGAGACGTTTACTCTGCCTTCTAACCCTGCATAAAACAATTAATACTCAATTGTTCAAAAATGAATCCTCAAAACCTCAACCTGTTGGTGGCCTGGACCTTCTTCAATTTTCAATTTTCCGAAATAATGTTCTGTTACAGGTCGGAATACAGCTCTGTATGGAAATGCGTTCAAGCCGGTGGCATTTACGTCTTTACCCAGCTGTGCAAGATGCTGGTTCTTGCAACGTTCTTTCCCACCACAGACATTAGTGGGTCTGGGTCTTTCGATTTTATTGGTGTAAGTACACATTTTTATTTAAAATTTAAGGTTTCCAAGTTAGCCCAAAAATATTGTGAGTTTCAGCAGACCTTAAAATTTAATCATTTTTCAATTTCGCAGGGAAAACCAAGCCAAGAAGTTCCAAAAATTAAAATTAGAGTCAAAGTTTTGAACTCTAATGCGCACCAGTACGAAACTGAGGGGGAGAGTGTTCAGCTCAGGCAGTTTGCATCGGAATATTAAGTTGGAGTCACGTTGAGAGATCTATACCAGTTTGGGCCTTTTTAGACCTCATCAGTAGATCACACTCGGCAGTGAACCCACACTCAATTATATTCCTTTTATTTTGAGCTCTGAAAAGTTGACATCCTTTTCGCCTTACACTTGATACACCAACTTGAATTGTTCTTCTTTTAGTACTTTGCTGTGTTATTGATCAATTACATAAATGAATAAATAAAATATATAAATGTAATACATTCGGATCTTTGCAATTTACAACAAAGTAAAATCGTGAAATTTCTACTCTTTCACTAGGCTCACGTTAATAATGTTTTTTTCTCCCCTTTTTTTCCTCCAGGAGCTTTTAAAATCAATTGTTGACATCTCAGACCTAGTTGGTCTTTACATTGTCTTGCGAGGAATCCCTGGCAAAGGTCATGCCAAAGTCTTGACGGCAGGCGTTGGTTGGGCAGGAGCAGAACTGGTTTTCACACGTTTTTTGCTACTGTGGATTGGAGCTCGAGGAGCTGAATTTGATTGGAAGTACATCCAAAAATGTATTGATTCCAATATCAACCTGGTAATATTTTTACATTTTCAATTTTGAGCCCTTTTAAAATCCATGTTTGCCCACAAGAAAAAATGTCTTACTTTTCCTATTATTTCCCTAGGTATTAAGAGCTATGTTGTGGTGTCACCAAATTTTGTTTAATCGATGCAGATGCACCATTTTGTATCTTCAATCACATCTGTAGAATCACTTTCTTAAGATGTCACAACAAGAAAATTCAATTTCCATAAAAGCATCAGAAGTGTTCCTGCTTCATCTTCATGACAAGTCAACTCATTGGTCTCCCTTGAACAAACTAATTTAAGAAAAAAAAAAAGTGAAAATCAGATCTGACAAACTTTTCTGAAGCATGTTGACAAAGAAAATGCTCTTTGGCTGAAATGACTACAGATTGGGCACTCGTTTTGGCTTTATTGCCTGATGCTTCCCAAATAACAACTGGGGTCCGTAATCGCATGATATTTTGAACGGAAAGAAGAATCGTTCCTTTAAGATTTTTTGAGGAACCAAGTATGAGGCTGATAGATAAATCGTTCTACAGGTCTATATTCATCCGTCAGGTGCATCCCAAAATTAATAAGTCTGCTAGGCCTGTACACCTGATGCTGTCACCACCAAGACGATTGTGAAATTCCTAAATTACATATCTAGGTTAGCAGGTTGAAGACTTCTTGTCATACTTTCTGAAAACTAGTCAACATGAATTCTATAAAACTTCCGTGACCTGCCTTCTCTGTGCAAAGAAAATTCTGTGGAAACCTTAAGGAAAAGTTTTGATTTGTTCTCCATCAAAAAAATAAAAAGGGAGTGGAGAATTTTGAACACTACTGGGAGTTTCATGGTCGTACTGTTAGGTATCCATATCAGACGGTCTGATAGTAGATGAAAATGGGAGGGAAAAAGAAAGGAAAAAATCTCTCAATAATAATAATAATTTTTTTTCTTCCTCAGGTTCAGCACATAACAACTGTCACCCTGGTTTGGCTTTGGTCGAGGCATAATCTTCCGCGACCTTTGGCACCCATCATCTCAGTTCTGTTGGGGCTCAGCTCATTCAAACCTTTCTTTGCAGAATTGATCATGCATGCTGCTAAACTTGGTCCTTGGATCTCTGTACTCTCTCGAGCTGTTTATACTATTTGCCTCTCAATGGCGACGCTCCAAATCTATGCTGGAAGTGGTATTAATCTTGGATCCTATTGAAGTATTCTTACTTTGAAGTTGTGGGTTGAATGTCTCCTTTGCGAGAATATAGCTCGTTATAGTACCGAATAGTTGGTTCCATATCTTAGAAACGTTTCATAGGTACCAAGAATAAAAATTACTTCAGGATTTTACAATTTCACATGGTTTTGGAATGTTGAGGAAAAAGGATACAAAGGAAACATTATGTCGGCAATGCGGAGATAACTCAGTAAACGATTTAGGTCTACTTGATCTGTGAATAAATTATGTAGTATTTATTGAAATGGAATCAAGTGACATCACCTGTTGCTGAATTTCAATGTAAAATGCACTTTATTATAAAAGAACGGTTAAGCTAATTCTTCAAAAATTTTATGGGATTTCTTTTATGGCTTAAAGAAAATTCTTGGAAATTTTAAGAAATGGTAATTTTGTTCTCTTGTAAACAAATGAATTAGGCAATGATATTTGGCACAATACCATGGCACAGGTGAACATTTCGTTAGAGGGGTCATTCCATCATCTAATCCCTGCTCACAAGGATACTGCGCAATATTCAACATAGTTGACGCCAATCCGCCAAAACACATGTGACGGGACGATGATTCTAACCACTTCATAACAATCAGCCTGTTTACATTCACATTTTTCTCGCATTGATAGATATCTGCCTTGATTGACCCCATGCTCTCCTCAACTTGCGCATGGAAGCGTCGGCCATGTTGAGCAGGGATTGAATGGAACGAGTCCCCTAACGAAATGTTCACCTGTGCCGTAGTTTCTTCATGGAAGCGGGAAGCTTGTAAAAACGCAAATTTCTTACGCAGATTGTGAAGTTAGAAGTGCATTTCAGAGTTTCATGATGTTCACCTATGAATTTATTTGAAATTTTAAGTAATGATGCAAGGAGGTAGAAAATTTGGTAATCAGTATTTTAAGTTTAATTTATTTTCGTTTTTTCTCTGTTTGGTATATTTTTGAATTTCCTTAAAGTCATGATTTATTTAATTCTAAAATGATCGTAATTTTATTCTCGTCAATATTCTTTTAAAGCCTTAGATTTTTCACTCTTGTAGAATGAAAACATATTATGGATGAAAAAAACAGTTACATACTTCTGTTAGTATTTGGACTATTCAATTTATAAAGTGGAAAAAAAACACTATGGAAAGTTTTTTTTTAACGGAGCAGTTATTTTCTTTCCTAGAAAATTATAGGGAAGATTCCATGCCCCCCTCTTTTAGCGTATTTTTTTTGTTTGCTTAAGGTTAAGAGCCTGTTTTGTGGGATCAAATATCTGTCCAACTTTAATGATCTAAATTCAATGCCACTGTCTTTTTCATGATTTTTAGGGTCAATTTTACCAGTACAATAGAATTTTCTTTTCTCATGGAAATTGCATCAAAGAAGTGGTGTCAATGACTGATTACTTTTATGTATCTTAGCATCAGATTAATTCTTTGGGTCAACTAGTTCACTGTAAGACCCAGAGGACCTCTTTTTTTGCTCTCACTTTGAATAGAACTACAGAAAAAAAAGGAGAGAACTATTATTTTGTGATGTAATGAACACACCTGGCCAGACTCAAAGCAAGAGGGCAAGAATGTTGGGCAATGAAAGTTTCTGTCTGTCACTTCGTATCTTAATACAACTAATCCTCAAAGGGGTGTAGGGAAATTTCCTCTCTATTAAATACGCACCTCAGCTGGCAAAAATAATGTATAAATTAGAGTTAATGAGGCTGATTTTAGTCTGTATGAAAATCCCTCGTCTCAAAGATTGAGGATTGAAACGAGGATATGTACTATGTACTATTTCATGGTATAATAATGGCAGATGATGAAGCTTTCAGCTTTAGTATTTCATAATTATGAACGTTGCAATGTACAGAAAGGCCTCAATTTATCGAATTTCATGGTACTAACAAATTGATCTGTGCAATCGCAAAATCCATTCATTCGAATTAGCTTGATGCCCTTGAGGGGACCTGGAAATCAATCGTAGAAATTGCAGCCTGAAAAATTGAGGTCCTACTGTACTGCAAAGACAGTAAAATAGAGGCTTTCTTTGTTCCAATTCTCCTTTTATAGTTGTTTTGAGAGCAACATGTTGATATTTCTTGATGCAAGGTATAAGTAACGAAATTCCATAATTTTCCCCATAGGCTTGTGATTATTTAAGACAAACCCTTTCAGAATGAAGGGTCCGAACTTAGAAAAATGTTCTTTTTGTACTAATTGTCAACAATACGATTCCATTTTAGAATTTGTTTCCTGCCAATCAATCATGATAATACATTCCCAGAAAAATTTCTAGCAAATCTGTGGCATTATTCATCAGTTTTCAACCTTTGGGTTCTAGTCTTATTTGGAAAATTTTCAGTTGTCTCAGATTTGATAAATTTATCTTGAGAAAGAGCTTATTAACAGAAGGAAATTTGAGTTCAGCCCCTAAAGAAGACTAACTTCAGCAGTGAAAGAGCTCAGTATTACCTGTTGCACTTTTGTCTTGCTTCAGGTCATGAATTGTCAGTGGAATATCATGGATGAGAAAGTAATTTAAGATGTGGGATTTTGTTAGTAGGGTTTTGTAGTTCTCAATATTTACAAGTTAGTGATTTCAATCGCTTATTGTTTCCTTACATTTTGGTTAAGTGAACTTTTAGGTCGTATTATTTCTTGTGTTGAGTGTTTTTCTTGTTTATCTTTGTACCAATCCTCTTACTATTAAATATTTATTACTTTGTGTTAAAAGTCTCCTCTCATTATTTTTGTTTTTGAAAGAAATCCACAGTCCTTGTTTTGTCTAAACACATACAAATTTTTTCTGAAGTTAAATCTGAAATCAAGATAAACTGATTCACAATGATACTGTTAGGGATGCTCAAAAGATATTTAAAATTCCCAAAAATTAAAAATATTTTTGTTTTATTAATTCATTTAATTAATTTACAAAAAAGACTTGTAACCAGGAAAGTTTTACAAGTTAATACAAAAAAGGGCCTTAGAAATAAAAGTAAACAATTAAAAAAAAATTAAAAATAAATTACATATCTTCTGAGTTGGAGTCTGAGTCTTCCTCCATTGCTGCTTTCGCATACTTTTCTGCATCTTGAAAAACTTTGAGTGGCACTCTTTGATGGAGACCATTTGTGTTTTTGCCAATCCAGCTAAGTTCTAACTCGAATTGCTTATCCTTCAATTCATCATGGACTAAGTAGATTCTGAGGAGGAAAGAGATTTTTAAAATTTAGAGGCGAATGAGAGAGAAACAGGATGTTTGTTACTGACAGTGAGAGATTTGAGTAAGACTCGGAAAATTCTTGCTATGGACTGCCTGACCATATTTTAGTAGAGATTAATGAACCTCATTGAAACGTCTCTAAGGATCCATCTGTATTTTATTATTGTTTGAGGGATTTCAAATCCTATTCTAGAAAATATCTCCGACACACGGACAGAAATTATACATAATTTCAAACGATGATGTTGATTAGTTTTCCTGACAAACCGTGCAGGCTAATTACTGAAATTTTGTTTTCACCAATAACTTCCACTACAACTGGGATGAAATGGACTGGTGTTGGCAGTTGGTTGAATGGAATAATTTTTCCATTGTGTTTTAATCAAATCAGATAAATTCTGTGTGTCTTGGTCAAATTCTCACTGGATGTGACTTCAGACTACTGTCTACTGGAGTGTGCTAGTGCTTGGAGGACTGGGAGGCTGATCAGTTTCCTGAGCATACATGTGATAGCTAGAACTAGCGTCATTTAATTTGGTAGTTGATAACTTTTGGCTGTCATACACAGTGAACAGATTAAAGTTTCACAATTAGCCGACTTTACAAATATATCCAATAATTGCGATTCAGGCCATGCTTTAACAATATAGCATGGCCTGAATCGCAATTAATGCATATATTCGTAAAGTCAGCTTATAGCTCAACTTTTGTTTTCGCATTAAGAGTAGCTGAAAGCCGAAAAATCTTGATTTAAGTTTCTAGGCATGGTGGCGTTGTAGCTTGCGATCAGCTCTCAGTGGCTATTTGACAACAGAAAGAAAGCAAATGCCAACTTATCAGACGTCCTTTTCAAAATAATCTTGAAAAATGCCCAATGAATACTAATCAGTGCGTAAAAATTCGAGATTGCCCACACAGAACTTCAGGCTGTAACTCTGTCTGTACTATAATTCCACTGTTGATAAAAAGTTAGAAACATAGATGTGATAAAATACTACTAGAATCAGAAAGTGGTGCTTACATTTTAGCGGCTTCTTTAACAAGATCTTCAATTTTCATATCATGTAATTTAAGTTTTTCTATTTCTGTTTTGGCTGCCTGTTTTGCTTTGCCTACAGCACATCCATAGTAACCCTGTGAATAATATACATGAAACGATCAATACACAGAACATTTTGAGATTTTAAAACCCTAACTCTCTCAAATGATAATAAATATAGATTATTTCCTGAATGATTCTACATTTATGCTAGAGTTTGTTTACTTTTATGCTGGTTTTGAGAAAAAGAAGAAATAAAAATAGGATCTTAGCAACCCTAGAATATGCTAGATCTGCAAAATTTTACCATATCAATAAAAATCGAAAGAACTGGTAAATAAAAGCTTTAAAAATTTGATTCAAAAGCCAAATTTAATTGATTTTTTGGTCTTATTCCCTTTCAAGGTATAACTTCTGTAATTAGTCTTGGATAAAAAGTTCCACTTTCTTGCAAATTCAGTCCTTACATGAGTATATGACAGCAATTGAACTTTGAAAAAGAGAAACTTACGTAAGATACTCCCGAAGGGTCCATCATGTATAATGATGGTCCATCCACCTCATCCCAGGAAGAGACAAGGACACTGCAACCATATGGCCTGATAGCACTGTACAGTGTGTATGCATGCATGTACATTGAAACTCGGTCATTGAGGTACTTCAGTGGGATGTTGTTGCCATATTGTGAGCGATAGTTAGAAGCTTCTGTTTTGGCGTTTTCCACGAGTTGCCTGGCATCGGAGATCAAGCCAGAAACAGCCTACAAATAAAAATTATGTTTTCAATCCTTTTTCAGTGATCAGGTTGGTTTGAACACCAGCAGGCTGATTACTGAATCAGAAATTGTCTTACAGCAAATAATTTCCATTTCAATTTACTCAAATCTGGCTGATACACATCAATATTAAATGATAAAACAACAAACAGAAGAGTAACAATCAATTTGCTGGGTATAATGAGTTAATTTTCCCTGATGTCTTCGAGGGATATTCAATATTAACCGACAAGAAAGGAGTTCAAAGTTGCATAGTTTGAGCTTCCATTTTAACATGCGTCAATGGGAGAGCCTTGATTGCATCCAAAAATGTCCCTTCTCTAGTTTCCTAGATCCCAATAGCATAATACTTTTGCTGCTAACCATGGTCCATGGTATTCATTAAATTGAAAACAACTGGCGGGCTGTGTTAAAAAATGGGAAGGCCCCAAAAACAGGTTTTGAGAATGGGAAGGTTGCAAAAAAAGGTCTGGAAAATGGGAATGCCCGTTCACGCTAGTAAGGAAATTGTCTTTCTGACAGATGCACTACAATTAGTAAATAAGCACCGCTAAGGCTAATGTTTGCTTAATCCAGTATGAAGATACAGTGAGTGATATATAAAAGCAGATTGCCTTTATTTATAAAATAAAGAGCTTAAAATTTACCATTCCTATATGTGTATCAACATTGAAAATTCTTGTGTTAGTGCCAGGTTCATACAGTTTGGAAGTGATTAACTTTTCGACAGCTAAGACAACTCCGTCCGTTCCGCGAAGACCAACTACTGTCCTGAAAAATGAAAGATAAAATTGACACATAGATCAGTAATAAAAATCGATTTTCTAGAAAAGCATGAGTCATTACTCAATAAAAAGAACAGGCAGATAATTTTTTGTGGCTAAATTTTGAGGTGCACTTCAAGACTGCTGTGACTTGAATTGTCACAGGATTTCCATTTACAATGATTCTCTGATCAACTACCTGTTACTTGCTGCTGTTTATGATTGTTTCATGCTGTTTCCAGCTATTTTTGCCCATTTCCGAATTACCTCAGCGGTTTTCTGATATTTACAAATGAGATTGACTTTTCAATTGAAATTTACAGCCAATAGAAAAGTAAAGAGAGCATTTTCATTGATACTTCAAAGTAAGAGATGTAAGTAAAGGGTAGAGTCAGTATGGTGACAGTTTATGGTAAGGTGCTATGCGAGGGGCAGGTGACTAACATGAGCATCGCACAAGGACTGACTGGTTGTTGGACTCCAACCTCATCCTCACACCAACTGCTACCTCTCTGCTACTAATGCGTTTTGCTTCACTTCATTCCGTCAAACTTCCCCCAAAAACTCATTTAAGGATCCATAAATTCAATGATAGCTGGCTGGGAAATTCATGCCACAGACAATTTTTCTTTACATAAATCTGTTTTATTGGTGTCGAAAGCATCATGGTAGGTAGGTGACATTCAAGTTGAAATTACAGGATGCCATTTACCAGATGACCTCTGGGTCCATAGACAAAAATGGCGGTCAGGTGTCGCAGAGTGCCCAGGAGCCCTATAAAAGCGACTTGTATGTATGCAGAAGCATCATGGTGTCCTGATATTTGATGATGATAAACAGGAAGTTCCAGGCAAAAACCAGAGACAAAAATCTGGAAAAGTATGTAACACACTTACCCACTATTCTCCACGGCTTTTTGTGCATATTCTACTTGAAACACTCTTCCATCTGGTGAGAATTGTGATGCAGACAAATCATACTGTGAAAAAAAAAGGAAAGAAAGGGAGATTAAAAAGGGGCAATATACCTTACATTAATATTTTTCGTAAATTTCAGTTTATATATATTTCACAGGCATGTGCATTGCACATGAAAAACAAAAGTAGAATTTAACTGAAGCGTGAAGTAGGGATTAAAGTAATAGAAGGTTTTGGTTCTTTGGGAGGTTGATTTTCACAGCAATTCAAGGCAAAAATAATAGTTGGGCAGGCGAATTGGAGGCTGATGCGTCTCCAGATCAAATTAATGCAACGTGCAAGAACATTTACTCGTGAATAAATCCCGAAACAATAGAGGAATGAGAGGAGCAGTAATTGCATTTGCCCACCGATGAATGTTGCTACATTCTTCATAAATTGCCTCATTAACCTCATGATATGTGAGTTTACATGTGCGCGCCTTGCGTTCAAGTACTGTTTGCTGGTTCCATTCACCTGCGCTGAAGAAAACAACAATGCCAAACGCCACCTGATGACTTTACCCTTGTGGCGTACATATCAAACAAGGGTGCGCACTTTAAAGATTCGGCAGAAGATCCGCTGAACACACCTAATCTTCTTTCACAATTTGGAAGTAAGTAAACACGTTTGGCATGGACGCTACTAGAGGCTTGGAACATCGTCGGTTTTGCATCGATGAACTTTGAGCTAAGGTTCCATAAGTTTAAAATAAGCGTGCATTTGGTGGGTGCACTTAAGATACTATGGAAAATTCGGAACTTCAACAATATTTTGTGAAAATAATCACAGAATGAGAGCATGATCGGCAAAATTTCAAAATTTTGAGGTTAACACAAATACTTTGTTTGTACGGCACGAAAATGGCATAAAAGTAGAGGTGGAAAGCAAAAAATACTTACCCCTGTGCCAATAGAACTCATGACGAACTAGTTTGTAAAATTATTTTAATTAAAATATTGAAAAGAGGGATTTGAAGACCGACGGTTCCAAAGATAACACAGCGATGATAAACAATTAGACACAACCACACACACAGACCAATACGGCAACGCACACTACCACATACGCATGAAGTTTTTCATTTCTTCCACCTGAGGCAGCACCAACATTTGCATTTTATGATTTTCACCCGGCAAATTCAAATACGCGCAACTAGATCTTGGGAGCGCATGGCGCAGGAAGCAAAGTACAAGAGGAACACTTAGCCGATAATACTAGAATCTTCAGTAACTTTCTAGAAATTATACTTTTAATTAGAGATGTGACATAATTATCATGAAGCTATTACATTGCGAATGACGTGAAATTTTGATTTTTTCAAGATAGCTGTGTCTCTAACTGGTCATCTTGATATACAGGTCGAAAAAAATAAAGACCTATCATCATCTGTAATATCTTCAGGCGTTTCATATTCTCAATACTACAGTGATTATAACACTATGGTAAAGCTGTTAGGAGTGAAAATACGTTTGTAATCAATGTTCATTAAAAGAAAAGAAAAAAAGCCATACTTAATTTTTAAGTTTGCTTTTACACAAAAGCAAACAGATGATGTTGCTCAGCTCATAGTTGAGATGACATCATAGATTACCTCCACTAGGGACATAGTTCAACTCAAAAAGTTCCTTTTCCTAATAATGTACTTTATGGCTTGACATTTTAACCTAGGGTTCTTGAGGGTATTACGAAACAATTAGCATACCTAAAAGCAAAAAAGGAGATGCTTTTGTCTATAGTTGCACCTTCTTGCTGAGCTGAAAATTTTGAGCTTCCAACTTACCTATGTCCTCTTTCTTTCTCCTAACTCCAGATTTTGAGAAGAAATTCAAATTTTAAAATGGTGACATCCATGGATCCTGGGGTAAAATTTGGCAGAAGCTATGTTTCTACGATTAAAATGAACTATCGATGTGACTGTCGAGTATTGTCCAACACAATTATGAGGTGTCTCTTCTTTTTGATTGATATGAATTGCAAACAGTATCAAAAGACATTTATTCGATTATCTGATTGCGATTTGGGTTTATTAAAAAGTAACGGCGCCTCTGATTTTTAATGGACAACCCTCAATGGTCATATCGATGTCCCCTTCTGATTGACTCAATTTGACCGTGGATACATAGCTCTAGAGCTTGGATTGATGTCACAGTCAATAATTACATCAAAATTCCACAGTAGCAACTTCTATACATCTTATATAGGTAGAAGAAATATCATGAATGATCATTAGAAATTAAAAAGAAGGGGAACTTGGATGGAATCCAGAGGAAAATACGAATAAGGACATGAAATTCTGGAATAATATTTTATTCTTCGAAAAAATTAATTTTACAGGAGGTAAAAAGTATATTGTATACCATTCAAATTTTCATAAACATGAAATTGCAAACCAAACTTATTAAATTTTTCGCCCTTAATCGAGCTCTCTCATGGGACTGATACGAGGTGATAAGATTTGATCTGGACGGAGAGTTTGCCCCAGTACAATATACTTGGTGAGAGTTTATCAGGCCTTCTACTCCTTACACAAGTAGAAAGTAGTTTTTGCAAATAGGTGACGACAGGTGACCATTATTTGATCTTCTTGTCGATTGTTAGCGTTATAGCAATAGCCCAATAGTTGGTTTGAGGAATACCTTCGTGTCCCCTGCCAGTTAAAAGCTGACATCTACGGCAGTCTGTTGTAATTGTTCTTTTTTAGTTTGCTGTTCTCTCTTCTTTGAATATACCTGTGTGATATTTGTCTTGCTACATTTTCATTTTTGAGTTTTCTTGTAGCCTATTCCCACTTAAATTATTCTGTGCTACAGTATTTAATTTTAATTTGTTGATAACTCAGATTCCTTTTTCGATTTTTGTCTTTTGGAAGAGAATGCAAGACTCCAATCTAATACCTTCTGGACAGATTTTCAACAGCATTTCAACTTTGCGTCTGAAGTGCTCCAGTAAAAGTATTAAAGCTGATTGAGTCTTCATCATGTATCTCGCTTCATTACTTTTGCCCATTGGTTGATTTACTTAATGAATGCGATCATAGGTCAATGTTGAATGGTGTAAGTTCATTTAGCCGATTGAGTTGCATTCATCTTTTTGAGCTTTTCTTCGATTTTACCTTCATCTTTTTCCTTTTCTTCTTCTTTTTGGAATGATGGTCAGATGAATCTGATGACGAATCCTGTAGGGGCAAGAGAATCACAAATATAAATGTAGGTTAGAGAAAAACAGAACCAACCAAAAATCATAAAAGATGCATCACACAATCTAGGATAGAAAGATTGATCAAAACCAAAAAAGATGCACCTGCAAGGAAAAAGAGCAAAAGCCACTTTGAATAGAATTCTTTAGGATGAGAGTATATCAAAAGAGGAGAGGAGATTGATTTATAAAGCCATTATCAAGAGCATTCTGACCTCAATGTAGAGTGGCCTGCGAAAAATAATAAGACTTGAATACTGTCAGTAACAGGATGGTCGAATAATGCTGGCTCCACACCAGTTTTAAGAGGCAATTGACCACACCAGTATTTAAACATTTTCACGAAATTATTTTCAATACTTTTAAAGATATTCATCTCCTAAAGGAATCGATTTCTGATGGACTGGCGTAATTTCAAAAACTCATGAGCCCTAGCTTCCTGTCTGATCAACGAAAGCCAAGGATCATGAGTTTTTGAACTTACGCTTATCTAACAGAAACCGATTCACTTACTCAACACTTTGAAGGCCCTTTTAAATGAGAAACAACAGAGAGAGGATACAAATAACACAAAGACAGATAAGGTAGATCGGAGACAAAACAAACTTGTTTGTGTTTAAAGCCAATCTTCCAAGACCCTTCTTACTTTACTTCACAATAAACTAGATACTGGAAATCTGAAAATTGCTTTCTGATTAACTGATTCTACTTACGCTGAATGATGATGAGCTTGAGGAAGAGGTTGATGATGAGTCCGAGTATTTTCTTTTCCTAGATTTTTTTGGCTTCTTCTCTTCTTTTTTTCTCTTTTTCTTGGCAGTCAAATGCTTTTCATCTTCATCTTTCGTTCGTTTTTTCTTTTTTTTCTTTTCCTTTTTATCTACTTTCACTTTGTCAAGAGTTTCTTGCTGAGGGATTTTGCTTATGGAATCGTCTTCATTATCTGATAAAAGTTCATACGTTTTGCCATCAGCTCCCTGTGAAAAATTAAAAAAATACAAATTCTATACCCACTCTTTTAGTGCTAGATGAAACTAAAGCAGAGGACTGTTTTGTTCTTACATATTAGTATTTTTTTTAAAAATTTTTTTATTTTCTTCCGAGGGCAAGAACAATTGACAAATTTGGAAAAATTACACAAAATTATGCTACCATGGAAATGATTGGGGCAGCATTTATGAAACTAATACTATCAAATTTAAAGTGATGTGCATGTATTTAAATGAGCCAAAATTTAAAGTCATTTTGCTTCACAAAACTAAAGTCAAGTTATCAATGGGAATACGGGTCACTTGAACTCCGTGGAGAACTCATTATCATAATGTAGGTTTAGTGTGGGAAACTGCAAACATTTTAAACAGACGTCAACGCTGTCGAACAGTAATGTTATTTACTTTAATCGCACTGACGTAATCAAGTTGCAGTGATTATACTGAACTTTTAATCAAGTTGGTTCCTAAATCATACATATAATGTGTTGTTTCTGGCTGTCTTAATACCAGTATTTTAGAAACCAGATGAGTTTTCTTCGGTGTGCCTAAGCCTAAACTCTCACTCAACGGTACAAATGGCTGCCCTTGGCATGGGGTCACAATACACAGTAGCTAAATAGGAATATGTCTACAAGATTAGATTAAGAAACCCTTTCAAATAACTTCAAAAGCATTTCACTAGTGAATATCGCAAATGGTTTTGTTTCTTGATTGGTAATTATCACTCCTAAAGTACTTTTGAGGTTATTTCAAAATACTTCTTGCATTCTTTGAAAAATATCCTGAAATTTAGAAATCATTATTTGATTATCGCATCGTTCTCCAAAGGGCTGGTGATTCACCTTAAATGAAAATTGACAGAGACAGAGAAATATAATTTACCTTGAAGCAGTCTTTGGCCAAGTGCCCTCGAGTTTTACACTTAGCGCACGTTACGTTGAAGACAGCATCCAAAATAATGGCTCTCTTTCTGTTGTAATCTGGACCTTTTTTCTTCCTCTGTTCATCTAAGCTAAAAAATAATATATAAATTAAATAAAAAACAAAACTTAAAGAATACAGAGTAAATCTAATGGTAGGTTGAGCATTATCTGATGGGCAAGCAACTTTTTGTTTAGTAAGCAAAGTTTTAATTAGGGGTGACAATGATAATTTAAATACTTGTAATGAGCATATATTGTTTTGTAACATTAGAGAAAGATTACAAAACCTTTTTAACTTCATACGAATCATACCTATGACCTTACTCCTCTCAGTTCCCAACTATTTAAGACTAAAATGTTACCTCAAATCAACACACTAATTTTCAACAGACAGACAAGGGTCACATAAAAATATCTACATTGCAAAAGGGAAAGAGAGAGTGTTCGTTCCCTTGACAAAACTCTTAGTCCGCTGAATCATCATATACACAGAAGAAATTTAATCTACATTCTGTTTCATTGACGTAAAATTTTAGGCAATGCATACTTTGGCCAACAGACCCATTCTGAGCTTTGGAGCTTGAAGCACAGCATTTTCTAATTTGACGACAAACCTTCGATCTTTTCCCACCAGCAAAGAAATCACTTTATGCATTTCTTACTAGAGTTTTGGTTGAATCACAAGTGTCTATTGGATGTATCAGGGAATTCCTGCAAGGTATACCTATTATGACAGAGGTGCGACAAGTTTTCCTTCCTAACTCACTCAGGGCCCTACGGTTTTTTTCTAACTTTTTCCTCATCTTCAGGGAATATTGCAAAAAAGTAAAAAGTATGTATGTGCCAACTGAAAATCAAACAATATTTCAGCACATTAAAACTTGACAAAAAGGCGAAAAATATGCACAAACTGTACATCCACCAAAATTTTGGTGCTGATGGTCTGTGCGAAGATACACACAGTAGGTGCTGACTGAAAATTAATGAATAAATTGATATGTTTTGAATTAGAAAGGAGATAGAAAGTTCTGTCATAGGAGACAAAGTCTCTCAAGCAGATTTAGAAATTTTTCAAGTTTTCCTTAGGAGTTTTCTGACTTTTAATGACAGCTTTAAAATTAACTTCGGAATGATAAAGAGCATTTCTGCAATTAATTTTGAGGATAAATATTTGGATATTCTCATGCGCAGTTAGAGAAATCCAGAAATCTCCAACAAAACAATGTTACCAAGTTTTCTCACAAATTAAGTAGCTGGATAGTAGTTGCAATATTGTTTCAAGCAATCAACCTTGTAAAACTGTAAGGAAGGAGAAAGAAAATTTGTAGCTTTTTAGATGTTCCCTGCCTTCATTAACAAGACCTGCAATCCTGCACTTATTGCACCCCTATTCTGAAGCCCTGTTGAGCCAAAAATATTTTGGTATCATGGTGAGCAACAAAATAAATATATTTACAAGAATTTTAAAAATTTCAAATGGATAAAACTTACTGCATTTGAACGCCATTAGGATCAAGATCTCTTCCACTGCCTTGATCAACTACTTTCATTGACAGTGCAATTTTTCCATCATCCTGAAAGAAAAAAATTCTGTCACATAACTAACAGACATTGAAACAAGGCAAACCAAAGGCATCAACAAGACATCAGCCTGGAACTTTTAGGACATCCTTTGTACTAGAGTTCCATCTAGTTACGAGGTAATTCCTAAATCATGCAATAGCCTCAGTAATTTTTTGTAGTTGAAATGCCATTGATTAATATAATTTCTTTGTTTTGCTGGTTGAGAAGGAATTTTACAACCTCAGAAAAAATGAAGTTAGCAAAATGAAAATGTAAAATTATGATGAATGGCTGGCATCCACCTTAAAAAATAAGACCCAATAGTTTTCACTTTTCTTACATTAATACTGATGACTTTGCACCAAATACGTTCTCCTTGTTGTAAGACTTCTGTGACATCATCAACACGGGTGGACGAAACTTGAGAGCGATGAACCAAGCCTTGTTGTCTCGAGTCAGGAATTCTTACAAAAGCACCATAGTCATGAACTTTGGCCACCTGAAAATAGCATTAAAATAATTAAACTCGGCCCACAGAGGGTTCTGAACAAACTACCTTGTCATATTCCCCAAATTTACTTAGATTCTAGGTGCAAAATTTCTTTAAATTATAGATAGTTGATTCTTTTCTAATTTTCTACAAAATTAGTACTTATGCCAATCATGTGACAATTATATCTGATGCTCAGCAATTTGATTACTCTTGTGATCTCTGATAGCTCAGGGAAAGGCAATTAAGTAATATTAATTTTTCACAGTCCGTTAAAAAAAGCAGAAACTCAAAATTAACATAAGCGAAAACTTTTCAATAATAAATGCAGTTGAAAATAAACATTACCTCGCACAAAAAGATTGAATTCAAGAGTCCTTCAGTCATTTTATGAAGAGACCGGAACCCCAGTGAGAAAAATTACAAAAAGATTCCAGGATAGCTTCAAGCATCAGCATGCACAAATTTGACTTGGCTCCATTCCAGCACTTAGGTATTTCAAACTGTGAAAAAAAGAATTAATTTTTTAAAATTTTTTTGGGCTCCTTTCTTTTCCTTCACTCTAACCTTCCTCAAAGCTATGATTTTAGAGTGCATATCGCCAGTATAAGTCTGCAATCATATATCTCGTTTGCGATGTCTGAAAATCTCCGCCTCTATGTTATTTTTGTACCTAGAGGGGAACAAATTGACATCATTCCTTGAAGATATTGCAGAATTTTTTTCGCACAGAGAAGAAAAATCATGGCAGTTTTAAAGAATTGCCGCAGTAGTTTTCCATTTAAAAAATAAAGTATGACAAGAAGTCTGCGACTAGCTAGAAGATACTAGCTATCTGGGACAGGCTCTGGTGTTTGACAGTAAAACTGAATCTTAAGCAAACCGTTTGTAAGTATCTGGGCCTAATCGGGATATTACTTCATAGCTCCAACCATTGCTTAGACCCCACCAGACATTTTGCTATACTAAACAGGTTCATAAACCAAACAAATACGCCTAACATGCTTCGGCTAAATTGAAGGTGGCAGGTTTAAAGTAATAGCAAGTACTGAAAATGATTATTTTTAGATCATTTTCACCTTAATATTTCTTAGAAAAAGAAATCCAATGCCAAAATAATCACCTGGTGAGACGGACAGTTTTTGACCAATAATCAGACTTGAATACCTACATGACACACCAAATATAAAAAAACAATCCTTCTGATAATTATTTTAGGAAGTTGTAACTGAACTGTTGTAAGTAAACTTTTCAAATGCAACTAATACAAAATGCAGGGGCATTGTGCATGCAATTTTCAATTTGCAATTTTGCAAATGTTGTCGTATGTCGTTACTTTATAGAGGTTATGTTATGATCTGGTTCGTCAAGGAACACGCCAAGAAGTAATTTTTCACACAAGGAATACACGCCCTATTCCTCTGTCCAACAAGGAATTTGATCGAATTTAGTCAACATCTTTTCCCACCATTCACCTATCTCGTAATTTTTGTGTGTTATCGACCACTTTATTTTAATTAAAATGTCAGTTTAAGTCAATTTTATAACTCTGCAAGCTTTCATTTTGCTATTAGATCTAGAAAATTATGAGTAATGATGCCGATCTAAGTGAAAATACTCTTTGTGATCCAGTGGTAAGTCAAATATTTTACCGGGAAGGCACCGGTTATTGGAGTAAACATAACCTTAAAAACTGCTTTTTTGAAAAAGCGGAAAAGATGCCAGGCCAGAAAACTGCCAATAAAGCTAATAATTCATGCTTACATCAAATTTTATGGTCTTTAAATATTCCTCAAGAAAATTTCTACGTACTACATTCAGTTTCAGTCTTTCTTATTGGTGATGGTTATCAATTTTTTTCATCGGCAAGAGCCGCACTCAAATTTGAGGTTAAAATTTCAGCGTCGTAGACGCAAAGACTCCAGTACTTTGCTTATTCAGTCTGTATCAGAACTTTAAGCAGTCTTTCGTCGATAAATCAACCTTGTCCCTGTAGCCGCTTGATCTTTATAAATTTTACAAGGACTTATGTTGTTGACATTATTGTGCTAGCGTTGATTTCGAACATGTTGATAAGAGATATCAGTTTGTTGAATATCTCTCTCTTTTTATTCTTTTAGAGATTTTGATCTCATGACTGCTTGATGATTATGAATTATGGTACAGAATTTTCTTAACCCTTAAAGATTACTCATTTACTTAGAGTGTCATACACTTTCATTCAATTTACAAATACCCGGCTTGTCAGCATCAGTGAATTTTATTCCAATCCGTTATTTTTCGGACTAATACAGGCAACACTTTAGGTATGTGCTTTGGATGAGAAAAGCTTCCAATTCCCTGCTACACCTGTTAGCTGCATTAACTATGCAATCCATCGTACGGATTTGTAATTATTTGTTGCTCACTAATAGGTACTTCTATTAATTAATTTTTTTGATAATTAGTCATATCACTGAAGTTCTCATCTTTTATTCTCTACAAGCAGAACTCTGTATATTTAAGAGCTATTATTTTATTTGGCTGTTGCTTATTTTAATGATTCTGTTTTTATCTACAGAGCTCAATTGTTGAAGGATGCAAATTACCAGTTCGTATGAGGACCAGCGACGACTGGCGTAAGTATCTATTGAATTAATGTCAGCAGGTTGATTGAAATTCCACAATTTCTTTTTTTATTATTTATAAGCGCAGCTAATTAAATTAGGAGCATAAGAGAAGACTTCAAAGCTAATGACCGTCATTGTCAGAATAAAATTTAAAGCTTTGAATATTTTTTTATTTATTATTTATTTATTACTATTTTTAAAACACTTGGTACTTCATAATTACATGAATCAAAAGAACTGAGGCCTCTGATGCCTCAAGATTAATTTTTAAGGTGATTTAGTGGACATCATATTTAGTGTCAGATGGACATGCAATTTATCACATCGACTAGTTCCATGTTTTCAGTCCTTTGTCATTTTTATCAAATTTTGCCATAGCATTTTTGTTGTCACAAGACAGCGAACTCTTGGACCAAATTTGTTGAACACACTAAACATAATAAAGGCAGGGCTTTTTTAGAAAAAATTTTTTTTCAAGTGCAATCTTTATATCAGTATTGAATGCGATATTTCACCTTTAAAAAAGCTCTGCCTTTATTACATTGAATTTGTTTGTGAAATTTGGTAAGTGAATTCTTTAGTCTCATGACAACAGGAATATAATCTCAATATGGGATAAAAATGACAAATAGCTGAATACATGGAACTAATCGATGCGTCGTATTGCATGTCATTCTGACGCAAAATATGGTGTCCATTGAATCACCCCAAGCTCTTGTCCAGCAAAAATCCCAAAGGGGTGAATTAGTGAAAAAACAAGGAAAGTGATTTGATCACTTTTCAATATCGGTCTCATGGCATACTGTGTTGAAATCAAAGATTGTCAAATATCAAGAAGTGAAAAAGTGTAGCTAAACGTTAAAGTTAAACAACTCGATTTTCATTGTACCATTATTCTTAATTTTTCTTTTCTCTCCTTCTTTATAGCTTTAGCAGAAATTATAAGTGTAAAAGAAGTCCGAGGTGTGCGATATTTCTACGTCCACTTTGTCGATTGTAAGTAGAAATTACATTTTCTTCTCCTTTGAAATAAATACAGTAGTTCTTAGTCACTTGAGATTTTTGAGTTCCCCCAGAATCTCCATTTTCAAAATTCTATCAAACTCCATTAAGGGATATTTCTGTAAGGGATATTCATCCGTACGAAAAAATGTTGAGAACTTCAATCATTCAAAAGTTATAGGTGCAAGCGTGTTTTGGCTTTCTACAAGTCCACAAGTGCCTGCAAGCAAACAGGGATAAATTTTTCTCACAAGGTGTGCGCCTCAACTAGGGACTCCTTTTTTTCCTGGAAAATCCTGCACTCCTTAAAATGCATCTATTTCCAAGGCAAATCATGTTGTAATATGATGCAGCAAAACTACTGCTCTCAAAAGGCATTGTCCAGTCCCTGGTGTTTTTGGTTGGTCTGCAGTTGCATTTCAAGGCCAAGCGATCCTTCTTGCATCAGCTGCTAGCCTGATCGATTTGGAACTCAACATTTCCCATTGAGGTTAATCCTTACATTTGAAACGGCACTCAGACTCGATTGATCATTTGCGCTCAACTAGTCAAGTCTCATCCTGGACTTAGGTAGAATGGTGTACCAGGGCTTGTGAGTGCACAAGCAAACTTTCCAAGTAGAAATGGCTTGTGCTATCGAGATACCTCATCATTCGGACTCAAAATCCCTGATTACAGCAATGGGCATTGTCATGCACTCTTTTGTTTCAAAGGCTGCTATTTTCAACGTGAAGTTGTGACAGATCTTAGTATTTTTGCTAACTTTTAAGCTATATCTGATAAAGAAGAACTCAGTAAAGCGCAAAACTGATTTTGGGGTTTTTACAGTCAGGGAAAACCAGGAAATGTCAGGGAATTTTATGAAGTTAGGAAAAACCCGGCAGTGTCAGGGAAGAAGATGAAAATGTCAAGAAAAAATTTTCAAGTAACCTTTATTTGCTGTCTAGAATGAGTCAGACGTTTCAAACAACAAATTTTGCGGGAAAATTATTTCTAATCATATCTAATTAACCATCTGGCATTTGTTTAATTGTCAAGGAATTCTACTAAAATGTGTCAATTAAATGGGGGAAATGTCAGGGAATTTCATTTTCTAAATTCTGTGGCAACCCTATGATCTTGTCTGGCACTGCTTTGTTGAATTGCTTCTTCTTTTCACTGGAAGAGAATTTCTTTTGTTAGATGGTTGAATTCTGAGCTTTTTTAGAAACTATACAGTTTCGATGATGTTTAACTATTTTTTCTTGTTTCAGTCAACAAACGGTTAGACGAATGGGTTACAGAAGAAAGGCTAGACACAAGGAAAGTCCAGTACCCTGGTCGGGAGACCAGCGGTGTCTCCGGTGTCACAACACCAAAGAAACAAATTCCTGCATTGCCAGTTTCACTGAATGCGCACTCAACGACAGTCAGTCGACCACCTTCTCCCCTCACCTCAGAACAGAGCTTCGTCAATGGTAGTGCTGTTCTAGCCGCTGCTTTGCAGAAGAAGATACAGAGGCGGAAAAAAAATAGTAGCATAGAGAATGAAGTAAGATATTTTTCTATCATAGAATTCACCATGCATGCCTGTGTTTTAAAATCAGAAAGTGAAATCAGAAGTGTATCAGAAAGTATGTTGATAATTAAATGATAAATGAAGATTAGACCAAATTAGACTACATCACCATGAAGTCAATGATTTGAGCTGATTTCTGAAGGAAATCTGTAATGAGTTCTTGCAGCTTTGTAAAATGATGAAGGGTTCATCTTTTATTGACCCTTGTTTGCTCAAGAAAATGGTAAGTACAAATTGGTCCCCTCTTTCAATATGATCCACAGTCTTCATCTTCACAGGTCCATTTTAACGATCAGGACGGGTTAGTTTTTAACACAAAAAATTGTACATATATCTATTCTATTAAATCCATATTTTCCAATTTTATTCAAGGATTCTCAAGATGGGACAGCCAATTCTTTGAGTCCGCGGATAACAGGATCCATGGTACCCCATCATGATGATGTCGTAACACGGATGAAAAATGTTGAAATGATAGAATTAGGACGACATAGAATACGACCATGGTACTTTTCACCATATCCTCAGGTAAAGATTTTAAATACAAATCACAATTACAAATAGTAAATATCACATACTCATGTATGCGACCTTCCATGGAAAAAAGGGACCCTTGTGCACAGAATTTTTTTCTTTCTGAGAGCGTTTTCGTCAAGTTGAGTTGAAAAGTGATATCCCCAGTCAGTCAAAAGATACTCTTCAATGTTTTCTATCACCCATCTCCTCCTAGAATTAGTTGCAAACCGTGTTGTTAATTTTATCGCAGGTCAAGGGCGGTAATGATAATCCAACAATTTAAGCCCAGTATATGATAGATTAAAACCACGAATAGCTTTTTCTAAATGCAAGTCCTCTCTAATTTTAGTTTAGTCTAACATTTTTAAGATTTCCCCTGCTCAAATTCTTCTAAAGTATCCTCTATGCAATGGTGAAGTCCACGCCAAATAAGTTGAAAAGCATTTTTAGAGTGGGCAGAAGATCACTATCTTGATTCTTGTACTTAATTTGAATGCTGATTTTCTGTTGCAATCTAAAAATTCATAAATTTGTGTTGGGTGAACTCTATCTACATTCCAGCATGTTTCTTTGGCAATAAAGTTTTTTGGCATGCAGGTTTTTTTTAACGATGAACTGCAAGCACCCTTCTTTTTTCCTAAGCCCTATTAATGGAAATGTTTTTTTCTTTTCAGGAACTAGTAAATCTACCTTGTATATATATTTGTGAATATTGTTTGAAGTATAGAAAAAGTCGGAAATGTTTGGAAAGGCATTTGGTAAGAAAAATTTTCACACCATTCTTAGCTGTTTGATCATTGATTTATTTTTCAATAGCGCCTCTTGTAATTATAATTGAAAAATAATGCAATTAGCAATCTTATTTACAATTATTTTATTTAAACATTATCTTAATTGGAATTTTAAACTAAGAGGCGCAGAACATTCCAGCCTCCCACAATTTCATGCTTCTGTCCAGTTCCACAAGACCCACAAAATTTCTCTTATTTTTTTTGTCGGGTGTTTGTATGTAAGCGGTGTGAGTTACAGCATATGTTAAACTTTGCAATCTATGTATTGAATTCGCTGTGTGCTGCTTCCTCAAATCAGCACATGCACATATACATTTATTTAGGGCATGTTCAAGACAAGAATACAAGGTATTACAAGACTAAAATTCGACTAAATTTTGATCAAGGCATTGTGTTGCCATTTGCCAAACCCAGTGCATTGCAGAAAATTGCGGACGCCCAGATCAATTTGAGTTCCTGTTGTAGAATAAAGTTTCTCTTAATATGTACTAGAGTCAAATGCAGAATTGAATCAAGTGTTATGAAAATCTGCAAGCGGAAAAATATTGGAGCTAATTACCAATTTCTTAAATTTTCATTTTGTCAGAATTAAAATCGAAGTAATGTATTATATTTTTCAGACTAAATGCAACCTGAAACATCCGCCAGGGAATGAGATCTACCGTAAGGATTCCATATCGTTCTTTGAGATAGATGGTCGAAAGAACAAAGTATTTGCCCAGAACTTATGCCTGCTGGCCAAACTCTTTTTAGACCATAAAACGCTTTATTATGATACCGACCCGTTCCTGTTCTACATCATGACTGTCACAGATGAGCGTGGTTATCACATTGTTGGCTACTTCTCCAAAGAGAAAGAGTCCACTGAGGACTACAATGTCGCTTGTATACTCACAATGCCTCCATACCAGAGAAAAGGCTATGGCAAACTCCTTATAGAATTTAGTGAGTCAATATTTTTAACTCTTTCTTAGCTACTCTGAAGTAAATTTCAACTTGGGTGGGAAAAGAAAATAAGAAGGGGAAGAAACAATTATTTTTAAGATCATTAAATTGTTTTTTTGATTTTTTATTCAGTTTAACAAAACTAAGCTAGTTCGAAGTTAAAACTTCAAAATTGCTCCATATGAATGTTCTTGGACTCTTAAAGCATCAGTATACATCAGAATAAATAATTAGTTTCATTATGCCTCCCAGACCCGTCGTACAAATTTTTTAATATTTTTTTTGAAAAGTATATAAAACATGAGAATTCTCACATTCTTCTTGTTTTTAAATAATACAATTTTAGCCAAGAAAATGACTCTCAAAATTGCCAAAACTCCAATCCCATTTCAAGTGGAAAAATATTGCGTGAACAGATCTCGTCATGCCATATGAAAAATTATTGCTGTGTATCCTTTCTCGCTTATTTCTCTTTTTATTTTCTGATTGCAATTTTTACTAGAAGTTCTGTATCAACTTGACCATGCTCTCGATGTCAGCGCTGTTAAAAATGAATCTTTCTCTGTCCCTCCCCCCCCCCCCCCAAATCATCAATTTGTATGTGAATTGTTAATCGTATCAGGGGTATCACATGAACATAGGTGCAGATCATACTGTGGCCATGTTACATTAGATCCACTTTGTTTGAGTCCATTGGTCATCATTTTATGTGTCATCATGAGTTTCAGGCCCAAGGGAAACATTCTTTTTATCACTAAAACTTCTCATCTCTTTTTTTCTTGTCAAAAGTTTAGAATATATTTGTCCGGCATAACTATAATGACTATTTATTGTTAGTAAGACTCTGTTTTATTTTGCTCATGAACTAACCTCTTTCTCCTGTATAGGTTATGAACTTTCAAAGTTTGAAGGCAAAACTGGCTCGCCAGAAAAACCTTTATCAGATCTCGGCCTTTTGTCCTATAGAAGCTACTGGGCACAAACCATTTTAGACATTTTAGTAACCTTGAAACCTGTTGGTGATAATGAAAAACCTCAAATCACAATCAAGTAAGTTTCACTTTTTCTAGTTAAAGATAGGCGCAATTTTCTATCAGGAAGAGGGAACCCTCTAAGTATTAGTAGGATAAACAAATATACACTCATTCTTTGATTATTGACATGAATCCACTCTGAAGAAATTTGCGCAAAAATACTTAAAATGTGACCTGATCTGTGGAAAGGATAACTGATTCCAAAATAAATTTTTTCTCAACTTCTCGCACATGTGTGGAGGAAAAAAAAATCTGGAAATTTCATGTATAGAATGTAAAAAATATTGATTATATTCGACAGAATAAGTTCTAGATTGCAAAAGATTTATTCTCTTTTCTTTTTTCTTTTACAGTGAAATATGTGAGCTTACAAGTATTAAAAAAGAAGACGTGATTTCAACGCTACAAAATTTAAATTTAATAAATTATTATAAAGGACAGTACATAATTACAATCAACCATGAAACTGTTTCGCACCATATGGCTGCCATGGCAAAGCGAAAAATTAGGATTGATTCAAAGTGTCTTCATTGGACCCCCAAAGACTGGTCAAAACGAGCCAAATGGTAAGTTATATCCTTCATTTTGGTTTCTTATGGTATAGTTTTAAATGTAAGAAATATACAACTAATAATTGTTTTTGCATTGCAAAATCTGGAATTTTAATGGTCTCATCCAATTAAAAAGTATCATAGGGAGGGATATTACGATATTAATGAAATCGAATAAATCTTACAATACATTAGAGTTGCAAGTAACGGTGAATTTTGAGGTCAAGTTTTGATGCTATTTCGTTCGGAACTCCTAAAACGAGCGTACTATGACAAGCTATGAAAAACCATACAGTTTTAGTACCATAACCATACAGTAAACCAACCAGCAGTTTGTAACTGCTACTCTAGTACATGTTTGTAGCTCAACTTTGAGTTTTTGCCGACAAAAGTCCTTTCCCTTCTGCTTGATAACTGACATATTTTTATGAGCATAAATTCTAGACCCATAGTTTGCCACTAAACCTTTCTAATGACAACCCAACAGATGTTTACCGATTTATATAAGAGAGAAGAGATCCTACCTTGACTTGTTGGCACTGGTCATTTTCATCAAAGTCAATTTATCAAAATTAAAAAAAATATCACATGATCTGTGCAACGGATTTTATTCATCATAATTTTCCATTCAAACTCATTCCTCAACCTTAGGCCATGGTGCAGCGCCATTGGAGATGGTGATTTTTTTTTCCTTCATTTTTTTCCTGTACTCATTCAAATGCATCCTCTAAAGGGTCTCACTTTAAAACATTCGGGGGAAAAAATATAAGGATGACCCCATTAAGGAATTCACCAAAATAATTTCATCATAGTTTGATGCAAGTTAATGCAATGAGAATCTAAAATTTTTTCCAAGCTATAATGTGATGATAGCGCTTTCCCTCATTTTCTAGAAGACTTAAAACTGAAAGAAAAAAATTAACTTGTGATAATGTTGGAGAAAATTAGTTGATGTCAGTATTTTTTTCCTAATATGTTTTACTGATTCCTCCTCACAGTTAGTCTTTCGCTAACTGTGTCCATTTTTTTCCCCTCTAGGATTTAAATCTGAGAGGAAAGCAAACTGCTGTTACCAATTCTGCAACATTCAAGCTTGGATGACAATGATCGAAACTGGAGTGAGGATCAATGCGGAAGCAAACACATGAGTAGTCGAAAAATCCGAGTTAATACGTCTAGCATCACTGATGCTGAATCTTTGAGGAAAGGAAATGTACCAGAAATCATCGCAAATGTCACTGAGTGATTGAAATTGTTTCCGTGTCATGGCGTTTTGAGTGTGGCAGGAAAAGAAATAAAAAAAGGAAAGACAGGAATAGAGCTTAGTTGCGTTTATTAGCGATCAGCAATCAAAGAATCACAGAGACAATCTAAAATAATAGGTTTCAGACATCAGGCTTAATTTGGAGGCAGATTAGAGCTCAGGATCTAAAAACTCCAAATCTGCTACCACTATGTAGGATAGGGCTCTGATTAGAAGAAAGACGCTAATAAGAAATGAAGCCCCATTCAAATGGTGGCACCTGCGGGAGGGTGAAACCAGCCTGTGAAAACATAGTCTGTGAGAATTTAATGCACCTAAAGTGCTGACCTTTTGGCAGATTTTTTTGTGAAAAAAGCACAAGTCTGATGAATTTGGTCCAAGTGCAAGTAGTGAAAAATCAACTTAATCAGAGGTGGTGGCTTCAAATGACCCTCTTGTCAGGCAGTCTTGATGTCTGAACCTGCTTCGTCATGACTTAGAAGGTAAATGAAGTAGAAAGAGAGCAGAATATCGACTGTGTAAGTTGGCAATCACATAACTCGGTTTGTGACGTTGCAGACTTCCCGTCATACGTTATGTTTTAAATGGAAAACTACTCAACGGCAATTTTTTAAAACTGCCGTGATTTTTCTTCTCTGTGTGAAAATAATTCTGCATAAGCTTCAAGGAATGATGTCAATTTGTTCTCCTTTAAAAAAATAGCTTAGAGGCGGAGATTTTCAGACACTACAAACGGGATATGTGATTGCTTACTTACGCTGTCAATATGTAGGTATGGAAAAGTCCTGAGAATGAAATTTTTTCAAAGACTTCAAGATTGCAGTTTGTTTAGATTTTATGAGGTTGTTTCTTAGCTTGACTTAGGAGGGCAGTACCGATGTAGTACCGACGTCCCCCAGAGTTTGTATCTAAAACTTGTCCAGTTTTCACGACTCTCCTGACTACAACTACACTTTCCCATGCCTACTGCCATGGAAAATACTTATGTACAATTCATTCCATCAGAATTAATGTGATGTATTAGTGGTATAGCCATAATTTTGGGATTTCAGTAGACCTACAATAATACTTTTTGTAATGATAATTTTTTTGCAGTAAATTTTGGTTAAAAGGTAGGGATCTTTTTTGTTACAGTTTTAAGGAGACTTAAAAATATGCACTCGGTTTTTCTGAGCAATTGTTTTATGAGCAAAAAATTGGTCCAAGGAAACTTATTCATCACCCGTGTAAAGCGTTCTATCCAAAAGTGGGTTGAAAAGATTCGTGCAATGTGTAAAGATCCGTATCCCTCCACACAGATGGAAATCTGCATTTATTTATCTCATGTTGAAAGGATGTTGATGATTGATCAATGTGGATCTTATCTTTCACCAGTATTTTGATTGGTACTTACAATGAACCTTTTACATGTCCTTAAATTCATGCTAATCAGCAAGGAAAAAGGCATTGGAGTGAATAAGCAGCTTGTAAACCATTTGAAATTCTCTTTATTGAGGATACAAATTGTTTTGTGCTACCAATATTCACTCTGAGGCCAATACAGTTAAACTTCAATTTCTTACAAGTTCCTGTAACACGAGTTCAAAGCTGAGCAACTTGACTTATCATAAATGATTGTGGTGGAAGACCCGGTTCTGCTAGTTCAAACGTTAATCAAATGAGTTGGTAGGATCCTGAAATACTTTTAGAGGAAATCACTGGGAGCCAAGGCATATCTGCTCAAAAATCTTGAGCCATGATCTCTTTTTATTCCACTTCGGTTTAACAGAACTTCACAAGAGGAAGTAAATTTGCATCGACCTGCCACCTATTTTTAGACGGACCTGGCAGGAAGTTGGTTTTTCTGGTCTACTTTTTTGCCCTTAGGAATACAGGGCAAGATATATTATCGATGTGTTTTGATATATTTTTGAGTCTCTATTCAAGTGAAATCAAAATTAGAACACTATTTTCAACCGTTCATTAGTTATTGTCAAAAAAGGATGACTTTCTAGAGCACCATTGCAATTATAATTGAGATGGCTCTTAATTTCTGACTTCTTTAATCCTACTTGACTTCCTAAGAGCAATCATTTTTATTCATTAAATTCTCAAGATCAGTCTACTGAAAATTTCCTGGCTATGGCACTTGTATGTATCACTGAGCTGTAAATTTTGTCAAAACTCTGAACCATTCCTTATTTTTCATCACCATTGAAAAGTTTTTTTTGGCATTCAGTAGTGTTTATCAATCCAAATTGTGCGTTTACAGTATTTTTTGGTTCCTTCTTTAAAAGTAATAAGTATTTTTCTCTCTATCGAATAGAATTCCCCGATAGGAAAATATTGGCTTAGGAAAATAAAAATTGGTCTCTTAAACAGCAGACACAGAAGTTAACCTTGTTTTTTCCTCTCGTTGATCGTGAAATTGTTAACAAATTACTGTGATAATTTTAAGTTAAATAATTAACTTCTTTTTTTGTGAATATTGCAAATTCCTTTTTTTTTCATTTTCAATTTTTTAGTTTAAGTGTGAACTCTGTAAATTTAAGGAAACTTATTTTTACAGTAACTGAATTTTATCTCCTTTTTTTTCTTTCTTTTTTTTAAACATCAGGTCCTCTTTTATTCATTTGTAAAGGAGAGGAGTGATTTTTCATGCTCAAAAAAAGATAAGTATTTTGACACTTGTCAGAGAAAAAAGGAAAAGTATGAAGGTAGAAATAGCTGTTATCACAAGATCAGTGCTGAAAACAGCATCCAATATTGCTTTGTATGTATCAATGTTTTTGCTTTTGAAGCAACAAAATACAAGGCACATGAACTCTGATACAAGTATGTACTTAATTATCTGTTATTGAAGACTGCTAATACTAAAACATTTTGTTATTTTGGTGAAAACTACTAAACACAGCGAAATATTGAGTCTTCAGGTATTGAACATTTTCTCAATTTTAACAGAGCTTTTTGAAACATTTTATGACCTATATCAGTCTTAGCCTCCTGAATTTTTTTATTTTTTCAAAGAATCTAATTTTTAGGAAAATATTTTATCATTTTTCAACGGGCAAGTCCTTCTGCTGTAACTTGGTTTTGTCCTTAGATGTCTACAATAAGGGCTGTTTCCCTTGACTCTTGAATATTAGTATCAAGGGAGTTTTTATGAAGTCTCAATTTTAGAGAGTTCATTTCTTTAATTGAATCGTGTGGTGCAAAAACCGCTAATATCCATTATTCTAGTCTTGAGTTTTATTGGTTTGATTATACTTTTCGGAGTTAGATGCAACCACTAATGTGGTGTTAATGCTCGTTTTAGGATTTTTTTAAATCTCAAAACGAGTATCTACGCCATTTTCATGATTGTATCAACTCCTGAAAAGAATTATTGCGTTAAAAAATTGAAAGCTGCAAAAATGGACACTAGTGGTTTTTACACGACACCACTCAATTGTAATGTCTCACAGGAATTCTAGTTTTCAAAAGATTGAACTTGTGTTACTGAAAGCGATGGATAAGAGGCGCTAGTCTTTTGGGAGGAGTCCTGCAGAAGTTTTTGAACCATCGTATCTGACATTTGTTTTCCAAATTTCATGAAAACTCTGGTTTCAAGGATTGATAGTTCCAATACACATTTTCAGAATTTTCCTAGCCCCTAAAATCAACGATAGCAATGCTACAACATTAAAATTACCTGTTTTGAAATCTTCCTTATTCTGTGAGGATGTATAACGCTTAAATAGACTGTGTAAGTAAACTAACTCGTTATGTATGAAAGCATGATCCCATTATTTTTAAGCAATGCCTTTTTATTTTAAATCAGTCTAAAGCTTTTTAAATGTAAATAGTATTATTGTTCAAGTGTATCAATGTAAATATGTACGTATGATTCTCATTTTTCGATCATCAAAATCAAGGCATTACACAATCTGCTCAATGGTAGAAATCATGAAACTTTTCCTTTTAACCTCAGAGGTTTGTGATGTATTTTACAAGGGGTCCACCATAGCTTTATGAAGTAATGACGAGCTACTTTCTGCTGAAAGGATTTCTTACCCATTTTTGACTAGAAATATTTATTAGTAAAAAGGAATTCCCTGAAGGGCTCTAGGAGGATAGGGGACGTTGGCGGCTAGGGGTTGCAGAGCGCCAAAGAGTGCTATAAAAGCGACTTTATACATACATACAAAAGGAACATTTTTCCACTTTCCACTCGAAAGGACTTGTTGCATAGAGGCAAATATTTCAGAAAATTGAGTTTTGTGAAGTTAGGTAAAAAAAAATCGGACTATAATATTCAACAGAAAATGTCCTGTAGTACTCTAAAGTATAGTTCGAGACCAGTTTAGTTCATTTTGTATCATTCAATGGTAGTAAGTTGCATTATAAATGTACAATGTTGAGCCTATAATCAAGATTTAAGGAGCGTAACTTAAAAATTGAGCTGTAGTGCAGATCAAAACAAAAAGAGAAGTTTTTTGTTTTGACTTTAACAGCAAGAAAAAAGCAACATGTGTGATAATACTCATATGTACAGAATTCAAATCCTCTGCATCACCTTTAACATGAAAATCCGAGATTTATAAGAGATGAATATCAAACGTGCGTTTTTTTACAAATTCAAACATAAATTTATTTGAAATTCAAAGCGTTGTAGTCACTAAGGCAAAAATTCCAACGGTTTTGACGTGCAGAGAAAAGAGTACATTGAAATTGCTGTTATCAAGGCTCAAAACAGCCCCTCTTGCTTTCCTAACAGAAAAATTTTGAATATGAAAGTATTTCAATAATATGACTATTTCACCATATTGAGAGCAATACATTTCATTATCAAGGGCAACAATTTCATCTGTTGTGATGTTCCCTGAAATGTCTAGCCCCAAATCATAGAATGAAATCGTACCAAATTATCGCGGTATATAGTTACAGTCCTGTTGTTGCTGCACCTCAGGTGGCATGGTGCAGAAGTATGCCTGTAACTGCATCACTGCAGTAATTATACGCCATTTTAATCCTTGATTTTTCGTTGTGTGCTTAGAGATACATTAAAACTGATAAAATTTTCCTCCATTGAGTTGCAGTTAATCAATTTCATGATGCATCAAATTTCATATCGTTGAAATTCGTACATATTCAAAATTCTTCTCATAGGGTGGCAGAAAAGGCTGTTCTGAGCACCAAAAAGTGTCAATTTCAGCTTACCCCTATCTCAGCTTGTCAAAACTGTTGAAGTTTTCTGACCAAGGGTTGCAACTGGACGAATTTCTGCCTATTTGATGTTTGAATTTTTAAAAAGTGCATATTTTGATTTTCATTCCATCATGAAAGCACCCATGCCGTTTTCTTAGAGGCGGCATAGATGGCTGAAATTTTACAAAACATGTTATCTGCCTTTCTCTTTTAATGTAAGTCCTGTTGGAAGCTTGGAGATTCTCTCTGCAATTTTCAAAATATCTACCTTGAATATTCGTAGGTCATGTGTTGCTTGAGTTCCATTTGGTCATCTCGAAAAAAATTATTGGAGCATTTGATCTTGCTTTTACTTTAAAATATCTAGAACACCTCATTCATTTGACGCAACAAACATTCCTTCAAGCAAACAGTCTTGAACTGCCCATTTTATGTTCTTTTCCCTTTGCCATTTGTCCTTTTGCAACTCATTTGTGTATTGTTGCACTTAGCTATCGTCCTCATAATTGGAAAAATTAATTTGGTCCTCCCCTCCAGCTATCTTTTTATTTGGATTTACAGCCTTTGGGCAGTGCATGAATTGATCCCTGCTGAAATTCAGAGACAAGGATTTTAATTCAGGATTACAAAGGAAGTAGCATATCAAATTTCATCCAGTTAAAAAGGAAGATGTTTTTCACAAAAGATTTGCTACCTCATTTCCGTTTTCTTTTCCGACAAATGCGTATCTATCATTTAAAACTAGCTGTAAAATTTCTTTGAAAAAAATTTGAGAATTTGATTAATTGCTTGGGCTTGTTTCTATCTTTTAAGACAAAATTCAAACTTTTGGTACGTAATCATGAAAGCAAAACTCTGTACAAAATTTCAGCGAGCTTTTGATAAGATAACAATTTGAATGTCATTAAACAGTGCAAAACTATCCACACCAGGCTGTTGGAAAAAAAAGAAAAAAGAAAGACATTTTAATGCCATGATGGATTTGGGTGAGTAGGCAGGAATTGCATTTAGCAAGATGGGCTTGACTGAAGGAGGATTCAAAACACGGAAGTGGCTTTGTCTTTTAATGAGTCTTAAGTGGTTCTTCGTGTGCTAATCCTCTCCTTGGCCATCGTCTTTCTTCCTTTAGCCCCATCTGATCTTTTCTGATTTTGTACGTTTCATTATCTAAAATATATTGTCAGTTCTTGATTATTGTATCCGTCCCTTTTCAAAATTCCCAATGTAGATAGTTCTGCTCTGCCTAGTGATATTCAATTAATTGTCTGCTTCTGTGTAAAATTTGTCGCACTCCTAAGGGAGCAACTGGCCTAAAATCTTTTCTGATGTTTGAAGTAGGTGTTTCCAAAAGTATTAATTTTCGACTCCCTTCAATGACATGAAAACCTCATATTGATAGTATTGGCAATCAAAAGCTGGAGCCTTACTAGCCAAGTTCGTTTATTTCAATAAATCTCAACTTCTGAAGTGTTGGGTTTTTGTAGAAAGCTCATAAGAATCAGGCTTGAAACTTTGATTCTGTGAGATAAAAAAAGTTACTCCTTTTGTGCCAGAACATGAATAACAAATACTTCCACAAAACTTTGGCTTTCAATGCTTATGATGTGTTGCGAGTTGAATAACTGTTAAAGTTGAAAGAAATCATGAAAATTTTGTTTTCATGCCACTGAGTAGAATGCAAACTATGTGGTGCTTGGTGAAATCCTCTTCTTTACTTGTATAACAACTGATGAACTCTTAAATCTACGAGTAGGACAGCATACGTATCCATGAGCTGCAGCTTGGCTCAGCCATTTTCCTCGCTTTTTATAATTTAGGAAAAAACTGATGAATTTGAGTGTGAACACTTGTGCTTTGTAGTGGGCATATAGTTTGCCAACTGATGACGTGTGCGATATATTTATTGGAAAATTGTTACAAAAAATAAAAAAAAAATAAAAATAAATAAATAAATCATAGTTTGAAGGTATAAGTTAGGTAATTTGTTAGTGAAAAAGAAGATTTCTCCAATTGCCATTCCTGAAACCCTACCGTTGACACTCGTTTTGTAAAGACTAGAATTTAAGTTTGTCCATATTGTATGTACAATTTAGTCGAATAAATTTTTTTTAATAAACATGCAAAATTCTCAATATGTTATATTTGCTCTCAGTTCCTTTTTTAAAATTAGAATTTACTCAAAGAGATTTAACAGAAGAACCAAATGTCTTCTATGATTTAATTGAGCTCTTTTTTAAAATTAAATTACAGGAACCAATCATTGAAAAACTTAAAATATAATCTAACCCCTCACTCAACTAAATTCAATTTAACACCTTTGATGAATTTTTCAGTACACTTCCTGATTCTCTTCTGTTTTTTCCTGTAGATCACTCAAAATCAAAACTCTCAATATAAATTCATCTCTCCACCAAGTATAAGAAAAAATATCAAACATATTTTGCAATAAAAGTGTTCTTCAAATCGATTAAATTACCTTGAATCGCTCAAGTCGAAAAATGTGTATCTCCGAATACAATGTTGCAAACGCTGCTTCAACTTGTACTTTTTTTTAACTAGAGACTAACAACTATATCTTCTTTGAAATTTTTCGTGAATTTTCTTCTATCAATAGAAAATTTCACAGAAAATTCTAAGGAGATAGTTGAGCTAATTAGTTTTTAAAAAAATAAAATATAATTTAAGATTTATTAGAGATCCCCTTGAGATAATCATTTTTCGATTTTAGCCATGTCTAATGTGAAATTTTATCCATCATTTTTAACTAAAAAACTAATTTTTCCCCAAGCTAGTCGATTTCTTTTCGTTGAACACAAGGAACATACCCATTTTTACCTTGGCAGAACTTGGGCCATCGTTAGGAAGCACACATCTTCATTGCAATTATTTTTAATTCTCACCACTGACTCAATTCCGGAGGGAAGCAGAGTTCAGAGTGATAGATCCAATAGCTCCTCTGAAGTATTTTGATTTCTTTTTAAGAATCATCATCATCATCATCATCATCATCATCATCATCACAATTTGTAATTCCATAAGCCCGATCCTTCGGGTCAAAATTAAGCGGGGACTGGCGCGCGCCGCCGCACAGTGGATCGAGTCGATCAGGAAGGTCGGACATGATATTTTTGACTGAAACTGCAAATTTTGACGTTTAATGCGTCACATTTTAAATTCTAAGGGGTGCTTCTAGAAGCAAATTTTACGAGCAAACTAATGAAACTATTTTTGGAACCTCAAAGTTTTGTATAAACGGAGTCGAAGGCTTTTAAAGTTTCCAAATTTTGTCCGACCTCGCCCATTGACTCGATCCACTGTGCGCCGGGTCGATTCGGGCGCGGGTGGTACCTACCGGTTGACCGTCCCGGTCCCCCGATGGTGGGAAAAATAGAGGGATCGCGAGGCGTTTTAGGGAATCGCCATTTTGCCATTTACGGCGGAAGCTTAGTGCATCGTTGTTGTCTCGTAATTTTGACTTTTTCAGTCATGGAGAGTCCGCTCGTAAAGCAGGATCGTCCGTTTTTCGCAACACCGCCGCGCGGCGCATCGAGCGGCGCGGCGTCACGTAAGTGCAGCCGTCGATATTCGAATTCATTTACGGCAGGCGCAATAAGATAACTATTCGACCACGCGTGTAAGCATGTTGCCGCCAGCTGGATTGAAGGCGCGCCGCACTGCGGAGATCGACTCGATTGCTGCCCTGGCTTGCTTGACGCTAAAATTGCCGCGAAATTAAGATCACGTGTCATCACTCTTGACTCTCTGCTCCGGTATTTACCATAATTAAAGGAGAAACACTATTTGGGGAAAACAAAGCCAAAAAGTTCCAAAAATTAAAATTAGAGTCAAAATTAAATGTTTTGACCTCTAATGCGTGCCAGTACGAAACTAAGGGGGAGACTTTCGCACTGACACGCATTAGAGTTCAAAAAATTTCACTTTGACTCTAATTATAATTTTTGGAACTTCTTGGCTTTGATTTCCCCGCGAAATGGTATGGACCCAGAACCATTTCTCCACCTTGTTACATACAGTTCGGGCCACTTCTTAGTGGTTTTTTTTTTTCATTAAAGGGGAAATACACATCCTCATTGTAACGATTCAGACACTTGGACGCTGTTTAATTTTTTTTTTTTTTCATGAAAAGAAAATATCGAGTCGAAATTCCACGTACATAAACAGACAGTGAAACTGCAGGTAGGTAGGTAAGCCCATCTCGGTTTGCAATGCTGCAGATTTCCTGTCATCCCATTTTTAAACGGAAATATACCTAACAACATCCCTTTAAAACATACCCAATTTTTTTTCTCTGCTGTGTGAAGAATATTCTTAAAAAAATTCAAGCAATAGCCTTGGTATGTCCTCTTCTGATAGTATGAAATTGGAGATTGTTCTTACGATGAAGAGGAAGATCGGTTCTCAAAAGCTCGCACTCCAGTCTTGACTCATTATGTTAAAAAACTTATTTTGAGAGTAGTCGAATAGAAAGGTGTTGAGAGGCATCTCTCAACCTTACGTAAGACTAAGGGGCTGAGAAGCATTACTGGTTACGTAAGACCAACACTTATCAAAGTAATTGGATGCGTGGTTTTCATTGTTCAAGTCCTATATTGTTTAAACGGAAATTCAGGAAATTTCTAGCACCTGTGCTATAACCGGATTTTATGTACTGATTTCATTTGATTAAACGTTTCAGTCATTAGTTTGGGAGGCGAAAAAACTTGCAAGTCAAACGTTTGTCCCCAAATAATTAGCATTCGACATTGTCGTCAGTGCCCCCGTATGCATGTTTGGTACAATGGGGAACGGAGGGGGTAGGGGGGAGCGCAATCTTTTTACCGATCATGAGAGACACCTCTCCTGCTCATATACTCGTCGTACTATGTGTCTTCTCATTTTGCGATTAAGCGTTTGTTTTTAACACCCTCAAAATTCAAACCAATAATATAATGAAGTAAACCAAAAATTCCTTTAATTTTCAGACAATTAGAAAACCTCATCACGTGCACACGGATTGGCGCCATGCGTCAGCCAATAGCAACTTGCCGCTGGGATTTGTTGTTGTTAGTAGTTGTAACTTTTGCCGCCATCCGCTGAAATCGCGCTCTTGCAGCTTGCATCATACTGATTTTGAACAGAAAGACGAGAAGCGTGGTGTCTAATTTCGCCAATGCTGTTCTCTTCTCAGCATCCACCATCGGCTAGCCGTCAGCGAGGATTTTTGTCTTCTGAACATGTGCAGGAGTTTTCACTTTTCAGTTTTAAATTTGATTGTTGAAGGTAGTGTAAGTTTAGTTAGTTTGTACAATAACGCGGCTGTTAATCTCCACGCGAGTTTGCTCTCTTTGACGTGAAAGATCTAGTGGTCTTTCGCTATTAGCCTACCGATTGACGACGATCCTCGAGGATCTGATGGAAATTTCTTGCTTGCCTGTGTACTTTCTCCGAATTCTTTGTTATCAGTGGTATTTATGACTCTCCTCATTAAGTGACTCTGACATCATGGACTGTTCTTTTAAGCCGGTAAGCGTATTCTCATCATTCTCTCTTTTCCCACAAGATTGAACCTTTACTCTTATCAATGGTCACTGTCAGGTCCCCAGCCACTGTTCTTGGCTCTTATCATATTAAGGAATACGCAATAGCGTGAAATACATTTCATGTACATACTCAACAGGTAAAACAGAAACCTGCAATGGTTATGATTCCCTAACTGGCCCATGTTTTGAGTGAAGATGTGTAACCACAAGAGCTCTCTGCAGGAACTATTTGTTGACCATGTGAATGATTCTCACACATTTTCTACACCTAAAAAATATCTAGGTTTTGCACCTGCCTATTTGTTGAAACTAGGTATAAGTTTGTCAAGCGAGTATTGTACAAATTAATTGGTGAAAGCTGGAGAGGCTCAATAGCATTGTGATGTTTTTCAGTCTCATCTGACCAATTATTTTAGTCATCGACTGAATGTTTCACTCCATAATTTTATAGAATTTCTGTCACATTATACTAACTTTTTCTCATGATGATTCAGATGCATTCTTAAACCGAAAGAGAACTCTCAAAGGAAATTCTGTAATGTTCTAATGCTAGTAAGATCCTCTGGCTCTCACTTCCTGTAACTTCCAGCTTTTAAGGTGACTTAACCAAGACAAGAAGTCTGCGCTTATTGATTTGATACCTATGCAGCATTGTCACCTACCCAATGTAGAGACCACAACTTTATCTTGTCTAGGTTGATTTCTTATTTGGAGAGGTTCTGAAGGAACTCTAACTGAACTTCTTACACTTACCCTTCAATTCTTATTAAGCACTGGAACTTGCCACCAAATCCGATGTGTTCCTAAGTAGATGGAAAAAAAAAATTTAAAGTCGTGAAGTTTGAATCTGATAGGAACATTTGTTTTCCTTGTATTTTTTTCCCCTTTTTACCTGAAATGTGGCTATCTAGATTTTTCAATGGCCTCTTACTTACTTGTCTGACTAAAACTTTGCCAATTAGTACTTTTCATTCCTTCAATAATTCATTTCCAAGTACTTTATACCAAGTTGACCATCCAATAAACGTTAGGGAGAAAATTTGAATCTTCTGGCTTTGCTACATTTTTTCCAAACACTAAGTATCTCTAAACCACAATTCTTTGATGTTTTAGGAACCTATGATAGGTGATCATCAATTAATTGGAGATAGTCAATTACTTAGACTTTCTGAGCAGTATTTGAATGGTCGTCGTACAAGTAAGTATCTAATGGTAACTTGTTTATCCCATCGCTAATTAAATTTCTCCCTGAAATATTTCTCACCTACTCATTCTGTCTGATATTCTTGCTTAGACCTACAAGAAGGAGGCACTTGTCCCCTTGTGATAACATTTTAAGCCTGTAATGGCTTTCAGTTTAAGGAAAAGGCATGCACAGCTTTAAGCTAACAGAGTGGAATTACATTTTTATCATGTGAAAATGAAAGGAAAACTTCTTCCTTTGGAATTTCAAGTAATACATTTGAAAATTTAGAAACTGATCAATCCTTAACCTGCTCCTCCAGAACCTCCTAATTTTTCACACCTGAAGGACCCTAAGTAGTTCAATAGTAGTTAATATTAAATGTGACAATAATTTGGACTACATTTTGCAATTTGGAACTATAAATTCTAGCCCGGTTTAAAAACAATGTATGTGCCATTAGTTTCCCTGTGCACATCAGTGTTTTTCCAGTTGAGCCAGAATTTACAGTTCCGAATTGCCAAATGCAGTCCATTTGATACAGACAGTCTCAGAATCTGATGTGAGTTAGATGTGTGAATCAAATATTTAGCAAGAGATTGAAAAATGATCACTTTAGTGAGAAATAAATGAAACGCTTTTGTGATGATGACACTAATTATTTATTGTAAGGCTTAAGTTATTACTCTGAGTTCCTTTATTTGCTGTAAGAGAAAGCGGAAACAGGTTCTGCTTTAGAATTTGCAATCAATACATGGATAAATGTTTGATTTTCTTTTTTACTTTCAGATAATCGTCAAGGACTGTGTGTCAGTGGACAAACAATTTTAGAACTATACACTGCTATTCAAAGACGAATTTATCCTGTCAGTCCGAAAATAATTTGTATGATCGGAACCAATGATCTTACAAGGGTACGTAAACATCATTACATACTCAATGACAATGATAGTAACAATTAATAACACATGATTTAAAACAATCAATATTTCCATAATACAATTTATGAGCTTATATTAAACAGTGCTCAGTGAGATTAATAGAGTCTAAAGTATCAGGAGAATACATGATAAACTTATTCATAAATTGAAAAATAATCAGAATTGTATCAATTACATAATTTATTCCGAATTGAGTTTGTTGCTTGATATTTTCAAGCTGCAATGTGTGCAAGCTCACTTTTGATTGTTGTGATTGTCAAATTTGACAGATGATGAGATAAGATGTAATTACTTGAATATCAAGATCAGAAATTTTTCTTTTTAAAGAGTTAAACTCTGCTTTAGGTCTATTCATGTGATGTTTTTGTCACATGGAAAGTCTGACTCAACGTTATGGCTGAATCCATCTTTTGTGTGTCCATCCTTTTTGGGTTTTTGACTCCTCCAGGCAACTGTTAATCTGACAGTGCAATTGAAATAGGCTGGAGATCCTTTTTCTTGCATTTTAAAAAGGCTCAAAATCCCCCAACTGGGTTGTTGACATGACATAAGAAGGCTCTTAATAATCAGGTGTTTCAAAAAAATTTAAGCATACATAAAGTTGTCCCTGTGTTTTTATTATATTTCACAGAGAACTAGTCAGCTTGGCTTCCATCACTTAACCCTCCATAGTATGAATTAACTTTAGATCTCAGATTCTGGGGGGACACTAATTTTTTTTGTAGCTTGCATAAAAAACATTGAGTGCCAAATTTGTTTTCAAAATTTTAAATTCAGACAATCGGTTACCTATTCGAAAAAAGAAAAAACTAATGAGAATTTGTAATATCATGCCACAGAGGAAAGATTCAATTTTTAAAAAATATGTTGCTGCGAATTCGTAACACCATGCCACAGGGGGTTAATTTATGTGAGCATTATCAAATCTTAGCATATAAATCTTCACAGATGTGGTCAGCAATCAAATAAAAAGTTTAAAGATGGACTAAGATTTACTCGGAATAGTCAAGGTAGGTAAAAAAAAAATCCATGAAACAGTCCTTAGGAAGGAAGAAAGTATTTGTGAATTTTGCATTTTAAACTGTGGTTTATGAGATTTTTCTCCAAAGAACAAGATATATTAATTTTACGTTTAAGTTATCAAGTCAAGGGTTATTCGATTTTTCCCATGAAGTAAATTGGGATGAAGGGGATATCTGAGATTTTGTCAGGTGATTTAAATTTCTTTTACAGAAAGACCATATTAAAAAAGTAAAAGTTTCCAAAAATTTGAAGGAGTTGCATCGGGATCAATTTTTAATCATTGCCTGTCCTGCTTTTCCCCCCTCAGAATTCCTCTATTGAAAGCATGATTGATAACATGAACAGTCTAGTGAATCTGCTCCTCAAAGAAAGGCAGGTGAAAAAATTGATTTTGTTGACTGCGCCCCCTGTACCTAAACTAGCAAAGGTCAAATCTCATTGGAAGTGTCTTCGAATATTCAACGATCACATTGCAAGTTTGGCAAATGGTAAGTTTCTATGGCTTCTCCCCTTTTCCATATCTGATCCATAGTTTGTATAAAATTAGCTGAATACAATGGACCCCTAGGGAAGGTATGAATTAAAGCACCACCCAACATGTTTTCCCTTCAAAATATCACAAGGAAAATTTACCTCACAAGAGGATACCTGAAAATCAACTCATAAACACAGTATTAGTGTTTGCAATGAACATTGATGAAATGGCATTTGTAATTAGATGTCATTTCCTAACTTCTGTCCATCTATGTTAACAGTGTTTGATAATCTCTAGATCAGAATTTAATTTCTGAACTTCCTGTTGTGTGAATCGTTTTCCACATAAGCTTTTGAAACGAAAGCATGTTATGCTTTTTTTTAGTTTGGACGATGTCTAGTGCCCCATTCAAACAAATGAATGCCTCCTGTTCTCCTCCAAACTTTTATTAGCAACTGGGTAATTAGAATGATGCAATTCAATATCATATCCATGCCATCATCTCATTGCCAAGTTGTCTTAAAAGGTTAACATATTTTTTTCTTTTTCTTTGATTTCTTGTAAAGAATTCTTGAGGATTCTTGATTTTTGTCCAGCATGAAATGGAGACCTTAGATGAACTGACCAACTTGAATCCATCGGTGTGATAGGTTTATCTGGCGCTGTAACAAAATTGTAATCAAACGTAAAAACAGTGAGGCTTACTGTGAATGACTTTCGTTTAAACTGGAAAGATTTTTTATGAACTCATGCCCTCATCAAGAAAAGAAAGGAAGTCTTATTGGAAAAATGTGTTTACTTCATTAATGACTTCTCAGTAGTTGAATTTTGAAAAAATCACTTGTCCCCGAGTAAATTCAAACCAATCTAGGCGGGTATAGAGCGTACAGCATCTATTGGGATCCAGCTTGCACTGGAGCTCTAAAAAATTGAGAGCTAGAGAGGCGTAAGTTGCTAATTCAGAGCAAGCATCAGGAGACGAGTTGCAACTTTAAATAGTCACCTGAAATTTGCAAACAATAAGGAAATGTTGGTTGTCACAGGTGAAAGAGTCAGGAGATTCTTAGGAATAAGTACGTTTTTGTTATTTCGAGTGCAAGAGACCTGTCTTTTGACTCAGTATTCCAGTTGAGAATTCCTTTGTGTCCCAAGCTTTCATGAAATTTTTCAACTTTAGACATCTTTTTAAAGTATTCCAGAAAATGTCCCTTCATTCCTTTGCCTGCAATATTTTCTAAAGTATAATAAGTATAATAAGTTTCAATAATACATATTGAACAGTCTTGAATTATTAATTCTTTGGGCCAATATAATTAACAATCAATTTTTACTGCCAGGGTTTAGATAAGTGATAATTGGTAATATCCCATTAGTCCACAAATTACATGTTTCAGCAGAGTTAAAAATTCAGTCGGATGATAGAAATAATTGATGAGAAAGTCGGATAGTCAAAATTCTTGTGTAATTTGTGATAACTAGAAAGAAAGTAGTCTTACTGGTTCTTGAATTTTTTCCCCAATAGTGCCATAGAGATTTTTTTTTTTATATTAAAAATTATAAATTATTCTTAATTTTTTTTTCATTTTGATTATTCTTATTATTTTTGTTAGTCCGCCAACATAACATTGCAAATTCTGGATTCTTAATATGTTCAAATCTTTGACTCATATGAGACTCGTGCCAATTTTCCCGCTGTGTTCATGATACTGTTTTTGAAATATCTTGAGCCCATTGCTTTTATATCAGTGGGCATCAATGTGTTAACAATGCTGGTGAGCGACTGTTAAATGAGAGAACCCTCTGTCAACCTAGCCATTGCACACTGTTACATGGGGAAGGTTTTCATTTTCCTGTTAAGTTTACTAACAATAAATTCCCGTTTTGAAAAACTGCTCTTCAGCATTGTTGATACGCATTCATGCCCAACAACGATCCCTACTACTACATTTTTTAAATCAATGGGCTCAAATGCTCCTCTTTGTGAGCAGTATCTTGTTAACAGCAGTGTGACTGTTAGTAAAAGATTGGCAATATGCTCTGGAAACCTATTAATAACAAAAAATTAAAAATCCCAACATTTCAAATGTTGGGACCTTTAATGGGCCTGTTGCAAACTTTTGCTAGAGCAAAAATAAGAGTTGTTTCTTGTAGATAATGCCTCAAAAATCACGATGAGCGCATCGGCAAAGTCTGAAATGCACTCATAACTTCACAATCTGCGTAAGAAATTTGCGTTTTTTTAAGCTTCCCGCTTCAAAAACGATACTACGGCATAGGTGAACATTTTGTTAGAGGAGTCGCTCCATCGTCGGCGATATTCATCATGGCCGACGCTTGCACGCAGTTCCGCGCGTAATTCAAGGAGAGTTCAAGGTCAATCAATTCGGACGTGGAAAATATGAACGTTAACACACCGATTGTTATCTGATCTAATCCAGTTCAGGTGTTATCTCGTCCCATCAAACGTGTTTTGGCGGATTGGCGTCGGCTATGATGATTATTGCCGACGATGGAACGACTCCTCTTACAAAATGTTCACCTGTGCCGTAGTATCGTTTTTGAAGCGGGAAGCTCAAAAAACCGCAAATTTCTTACGCAGATTGTGAAGTTATGAGTGCATTTCAGAGTTTGCCGATGCGCTCATCGTGATTTTTGAGGCATTATCTATAAGAAACAACTCTTAGTTTTGCTCTAGCAAAAGTTTGCAACAGGCCCATTTGATTATTTATATCGTTTCTTGTGTAAAGCCATTATTTAGGGTCCATAAGTGGAAAGCAATTCGTATTTTAAAAGCTACATTTTTTTGTCTGGTAGAAAATCGAAACCGACAAAATGTCTTAATGCCATAACGAAAACTTGAACAATTTTTGGTGTAGCTACTACTACATCAAATTGATATACTAGTAGATCCCCTCCTATCGGTCCAACCAAATTTGTGCCATGCATTTTTAGAAGGATTTTTTGTAGCATTGTACAAGAACAAAGTTACAGTTACTCTGTTGCAGATCTACTGGAGGAGTCAAATAGGTCTTGAGAGGTATTATCATGTAATAATTATCAAGGCATTATCTTAGTTTCATTCGTAAAACATTCAACACAGGCATAATTTTCCATAAAAACATTCTAGCATCCATTCAAGAAAACTTAAGAATTAAAATAAATTGTGAAACACTAGAATCTTTGTTTTCTCATACATGAAATTCTTCCCTGTTATGCTATAATCCTTATCTATTTTTTTTCTCAGGTTCAAGTATCAGTGTTCTTGAAATTGATCAGCTGTTCCTTGCAAACCACGATTCATCTCCAAGTTATGATGGTGCTCCCTGCCGTTTCCCCAGACAAGTTCCTTTGCCATATTCCAACAGATACGGACCTTTTTCGCAGGAAATAGAATCATACCCTCCAGATTTCAGTCGGCCTCCTCCTTGTAACCCTTTTCAATTAAAATCCTCCGAGTGCAACAAACGGCCAACCGGTCCCTCTCTGCCAACATTCAGTAGTAGTAATAGCTCTCTGAACCAAGAGAAAGCTGAAGACTTGCTCTGTCCACAATTCCTAAAAACAGACTCTAGATCATCCGTGGCGGCATTAGAACCCGAAATGAAGCCCCGAGTTCTTGAGGACATGTGGGATGTTCAGTCCATCAAGCCAAAATCTTGTGTAGATAGTATAGCTAGCACTGCCAGCGCAATCGGTGATGGTAGTCAAGATTCTGAAAAATCTAAGGATCCTTTACTGGAGACTTGGCCAGCTCAACAAGAACCACCCAAAACTGAGATGGATGATGAGCCTACTGCACCTGCACCCTCTTCAAGTCCAGCGAGAGTTGATGCTAGAGACAACAGCAGTAATAAAGTTTCAGAAATTTCCTCATTGCCCCTTCATGACTCTGCTACTGGGAACATGGAGAATCTTAAAATTAAGGACTCTCAGCCAGATACTCAATCTGTTCGACAAAAACCTATTGGAGCTGATTCTCCCACCCTTCCGATTTCTACTTCTGTTCATTCGAAGAATATTGAACAAAATCGAGATAAGACCATGAAGAATTCTTCTCCTAACAAACCTAAGGCTTTCAAGAAGAAACTGAAAAGCCCTCTCATCAAAGAATCAAAGCAAGAAGACCAGTGTGTAACAAATGAAACCGACTGTGAACCTGAGGGTAACTGGAACAATGAAATTTTGGGTCATGGAACAAAGATTCCTAACAAAACCTCATCGCAAAATCTAGAGGACATCGACAATCAGTGCCATGTCACCAACCAAAAGGATAAAAAAACTGTTAAATTGAACGAATCATTGAGAGCTGGATCCCAGAAACCTGTGGTCATCCCTTCAAAGAAAGATTCTGGAAGACAGGAGGGAAATCTGAAACCTCCAAAAGTTCGAACTTGTCTCAACGTGATTCGGGATCACATAAAAGACAATTCTCCATCACAAAAGTCAGCTAGCAATGCCTCTGCCTCATCAAAAGTTGTAGTGACAAGTAGCGAGGCAACAGCTAGTTCAGTTAACCCATGCAGTCCAGCTCAAAGTGATAGCTCCGGGGATTCGTATGTTTCAACGCCAAAAGTTTTAAAAGTAAACGAAACTGATGTTTCTTCAGCAAAGTTTAATCAAAGAAATCGAGCTGTGGGGCAGCAAGGAAATAGTTATGCCAACAAGTACATGTCATCCAGAGGTAGAGGTGACAGACCACTAAGGAAAGTGCCTGCTCGCAATACGACCCCTACGCCCTTTCCACCATGTGAAAGAAAACTGCTGAATGATTTTAAAACTCCTGAAAATCAGTGTATTCCACAACATTCAAGCAGACCTCTAAGACAACAAGCTTTTGAGGATGCAGGAGATTCAGTCATGGAATGTGAGCAGATTGACAGTTGTGAATTGATCAATCAAAGAGATAATGGGTGCAAGTCTAATTTAGGTAATACTTCAGACCCATCATTTTTGCAGGAGCAGGTTGGCCCCAGTGGAAATCAAACTTTTTCTGGAGATGCCTCCAAAACTATGCAAGCAACCGAATCTTCATCTGAAAATCAAAGTAGACTTGGAGATTGTGTCTCCAAATCAAATAATGAGAGTCTTTATCCTGGAAACAATGTTCTCACCAATGATCAAAGTGAAATTAACGCACCAGAACAAAAAGTTCCTGAAAGCTCTCATCTTGATCGTAGACTGACTCAAAACTCAAAAGGAATCAATGAAGATGAGGGAAATGTCTTGGTACCTAATGTGGGAAAATCTTTACAGCAAAGAGTTGTTGTAGATGATTCCTCATCTCATGCCAATTACTGCAGACCACCGATGCATGAAAGAAAACTTCGAACTGTTAGTTCAGAGCTATCTGAGTCCACAAACTCCAATCCGAACCAAGTTTTGACTGAGGAAAGTAATGCCCTGCCACGGTGGTTTCCGTCTAATGATGCCCAACCAATACCAATGACAGCAGCCCTACTGATGCAAGTAAGTGACAATAATGAGAGGAGTAGAGTTCACTTTCCAGGGCATACGGAAATTCAAGGTGGAGATTATTTTCAGCAAGACAGCCATAGAGCTAATCATCCAGCGAATTTTGAAAGTGGCTGGAGCCCTGCGGCCTATCCTCATAGTGAGAATCAATATTCTGGTGTTTCTGCCCAATTCAGAGAGCAAATTTATCAACCTGCGAATGTGTCTAATCCGCCCCATCATCAATCGAATCAGAATCGTGATTTCATGGAAAACCAAAGTTTTGAAAAGGAGACAATGGGCCAGTTACAGACACAAAGCCTTAATGATGAAAAGTTTTTTAATCAGCAGCCTTATTATGGCAATCAAGGAAGAGTGCTCACAGCAGTAACAACAACTTTCAATATGCAATACCAACAAGCCCAGAACTTCTCACCTGCCTCTTGTAATTCTATGCAAGATCACATGAATATGCATTTCGAAAAATTCCCATCAATACCTAATTCAAGACTGAGACCAGCAGCACCCCATTTTCAACCAACAGAAGGTATCAGAAGAGGTAATTTTTATGGACCGCCCACATTTCATGATTCGAGAGCGGCGGAAAGAGTGAATCAGCACTTTTCCCAGAGAGCCTTGCCGGAACCTTCTACGCAACGCAATTTGGTTGAAGAAATTTCTGAATCTAATTTCAACCATTTAGATTGGCCAATTTCTGGTGCACAAGCAAATTTACCTCCAGAACACATCAAATCACAATTTTCCAGCAGGTGTAGGCGTAGAGGCAATGATCACCAAAATTATTACTGCAGAAGTCATCAAGAAGTTACTCCAAGGGCTCTAGAACACCGAGACTACTCGCACCAAATACCCCAAAAGCCAGAATTCCGAAATTATCGTCCCCCTCAAGCTTGTCCAGCACAACCTGAGGGAGCTTCCAAAACTGCAAGATATATATGCCAACTTCTCAAAAATGTGATAGACACCCTCGAAAAAGGATTTCAATACTTCAATCTTGAAAATGTACAGGCTGAGAAACCAGCTGTACATTCTGACCTAGATATTGCCCTCTCTCATGCAATAAAACTGAAGGAAGCTGTAGAAGAGGGTAACTTTGAGAGCATCATAATGAAGGAAGAATGTGAAAAGGAGGCTTTAATATTTGCCTCTCACTTTGTTGATAAAGATTCGGAGTCTACTTTTGAAAATGATCCAAATCACATTTTAGAACAAGAACCGAATTATCAGGATAATATGGATAGGGTAGGAACGTCTGCTGATAACGAAAAAAATGAGGTGCCAAAAACATGGAGCCATGAAAGCCACAAGAACCTGCATTTGGGAGAACTCAACAAACAAGTAACAAGTAACAAGTTGGTAGAAAGATCAGAGATTGAAAAAGCTGGTAAGATAAGCGATGAAAAATCCTATAATAATGGTCAAAGAAACAAGCTTCCAGAGCCCTGCAATATGAGATCTAAAGATGAGCTTCCTTTGCATCAAAAAGATGGTGGAGAAGCCCCTAAAAATGAGTCGCTGGAACATCACAACAGCATGAGTAGACCTCAAAACCACAAAGATATGCAAGTCGTGTCACCTCAAGAGTTTGATACGAATGTTCCTACGAATGAACTCGCTGTACTCCCCGAAACTTTAGAAGGAACAAAAGGCACTGAAGATAGTGCCGAAGCATTTCAATTACAACCCACAGCTGATGTCCCTACTGAAGAAACTTTCAAGGATTCTACAAAAATGGAACAGTCCGAAGGACATGAAAATTTCAAGGTTCGATTGCATCAGAATTTTGAAAACTTTTCACCCAAATGTGAACACTTGATGCATTCTAAAATGACAGAAAAACCCATGAGCCAGGGAAACAAAAGAGTCGTTCAGTATCAGAAGTCTGGCTGTGGATCTCCGGAGAATTCTTCAAATATGAGAAAAGCAGAAAGCAAAGCAGATTATGTGGATAAAGAGAATCAAAAGTCTGCAATTTCTCCCAGAAGCGAACCAGTGCAGTATCATGAAAAAATGAAAAAAGTAGAAAGTGACAGAGATGACAAAGTCACTAGGCATTGGAAGAGTAATAAATTCACTCCCAGAAATGCAACTTCAGCACGTTCTGATAAAAAGGGAAAACATGAGCACCTTGAAGCCACTATGTCTGCCACAGGTAGGAAGAATTATTATCATGGTGGGAGAAATCAAGCAAATTCTTCAAACATAGGAAGAGATTCAACCTTCAAAGAAGATTCTGTTATTCCTTACCAAAAATCAAATAAATCTAAATCTGAAATTCAGGGTACTCAAGGACCTAGTGCCCGAGAACATCCCAATGTATCTCACAAAAATCGATATATTAAACGTACCAAAAATGAGCAATTGACTGAAGGAAAGATGCAATCTAAAGTCGAAAGTGAAGGTCCAAGAAGTCCACCTGAAGGGAATGAGAAGGATAGAGTTAATAATGATCTAAAACAGCATGACTTAGAATTTTCAGAGGGATCTGACTATCCTAAAAAAAGTGAATCGCCGAAAAATTCTGAATTAAGTGTTGAAACTACACAACATCCCTCACAACCTGATGAAAATACAGAACATGTTTCTCCTTCCGAGACACAGTATTTAAACATTGCTGGTAATCAACTTGTTGCGGATTGGGAAGAATTAGATGAGTTCCAAAAAAGTCCTCATGACAAAATTCATAACGAACAATTTTCCAAGAATCTAATGAATTTTGAAGGACAAACCACTAATAGTCCTGTCAGTGATAAACAAAGAAATCAATCTTCTCTTGATGATGGAACTCAACAATACAGCGCCCCACTAATCTCAGTACCTAGAGAGCAATTTCAGTCTCATGCTCCGCAAATTCCTTTTGAAGAATGTCAACAGTCAGAAAATTCAGGGATGTTTAAATATCAGGAGAGACATCACTCTGGATTTTGGAAAATTCCAAAGGCGGCAAAAACTTCTGAATCATACATTGACTCTGTAAAGGCAGGATCTGCTACATCTAGCAATACCGATGATAGAGTCTTCATGGCCTCAAAACATGCTATTAAGGATGAAGTACCTAATGAGGTGGAACGCAGTCTCCAATATAACCAAGAAAATCAGAGGGCTTTCGAAAAATCCGATATGCAAGATTTTAAGCATCCAGGTCAATGGTCTGACTCATATGCAAACAGACCATCACATAGGCATTTGCCCCATAAAGCCAGAGATGTTGGAGCAGAAAGTACAAACTGGAGGTCACAGCAATGTAACAACCAGATGCGGTATTCTTCCAGCTCAGAAGAGGAGTTTCCGGCCATAGGGGCACGCAGATCACGGAGAGGGAGACAAAGAATGAAAGAAGCCCACGAGCAGAGGTCAAATTTTACCATGCCAGTCCGTTCATATAGTGCTGAAGGATTTCCCAGAATGCGTTTCCTATCACCTCCTGTTCCAAGTAAGTGCTCAGTCAGTATTATGTCTTTTTATTGTTCAGGTAGCATTCTAACTCGGTATATGTATCTGGTATTGAAAAATTTGTTTTCTGAATTAAGAGGCTGTACCTTTAGGGCCTCTCCCCTGCTGTGGAATAAAAATCACACCAGTAGGTTTTACTCAAGTCCCCTCTTCCTCCCCATCATTCTAGTTTTTCCTATTAACAATTTTGCTAAAAAATGCTCCAGGTACCAAATTTCAGCGCTTGCTGTAACAGTAACCCACTTTTTGAATTGTTTTCATCCAAGCTACTGAAACCCATTGCGGTCGATTGTATGGGACTTTAATAGTTGAGTTGTCTCCACCTCATTACATTTCTAGCCTCTCTTTATCTTTCTCCTAAATATCATTCATTCCCATCTGTCATATTTTTACTGATATTTCCATGTAAATTTATTATTGTTACTGCCCTCTTTAGAGGTGTAAATGGCCTTAGATGCTAAAGCACCGCTTTAAAATAAAATTATTTTACTACTACTACTACTTCTTTTGTGACCATGTGTTCCCTATTTTGGATAAGTTTTTTGCTTTTTTATGTTCCCAAATGGTAGATATTATAGATGTAAAGCCGAAGAGCAGTTCACAGCAATATTTATGTCCAAAGAAAAATAAGTAATAGAAATAAACTATGAAAGAGGGACTTTAAACATTTCAAAATTAAGGTATCACTGTTACCAAGCGTTCTTTGGCCTCCTGAATACAGTCCCAAAAGTTTCAATCTGTTTCATGAAATTCTCTATCTCAGCCCGGTTCTTTCACCACTTGGCACAAATCTATCCTCTAATTTAAAAAAATAAGAGCATGCGCTTCCAACCGAGTGTGTTGGTGCTTTCCACTTGTTTTTTATGTCATCCACATTAGAGAAGAAATCTGCGTGTTAATCACTGGGGAGGAATTTTGGGGTGTGTTTAATGAATAGTGCTAAATCTGTTTCGTCATTTTTGTATTATCTTCTTAAGCTTAATCCCAGATCAGCCTCTGAATAAGGAGACTTAAAAAAAACAAGAAACAGAGAACTAAAGGTGAGTTAACTTGACATTCTTGGAGCAGCAGCAATATCAAATAAAACTCAAAAGATAAGTACAAACATACCAAAAGAAGATGGCCCTATGTGCTGAAAGGCTTTGGGCACTGTAAATAAAATGTTGCTGCATAATGGCACGTTTGTATTTATTCTTCTTTGTTTTATAGATGAGTTAGTTCCGTCAGTGGAATGACACAAGAAACTTCACTTAATTTGCCTGCACAATGGTGGATAGTCCAGAGGTCTTGTGTATTTATGCAGTTAATTAAGAAGCTGGCCTTTTGCGGCCAGGTGCATTGTGCGGAAAAGTAAATGACATGAGGTGGAGAGTTCCTCAATTTGTAGGGTGATCTGATTGGATTTATTGAAAGCTTTTAAGTGCCACACAGCCTCAGGTGGTTATGGAAAGTTTTTTTCATAAGGGCGATAAAAGAAACATGCTTTTAAGTTTAATCACAGTCAATAGAGGATTCTTTTAGCCTCTTTTTTTAATTATTCTCCTCGCCTTTAGTATGATTTTTTACTTGCTCTTTTTGTTTAAGTTGATTTATTGTAAGTTATACTTATTCAATTCTTGGTGTGAGACTCATTTATGGTTCTTCTGCTTTGCAGCTCAAACCAGACATTTCCCTGACCACGATTTTTCAAAAATCAAGATGGATAACTTTGAACTGTAAGTGTTTTAGAATTTTCAGGAGTGTCTCATTTTCGTATTTTTCTGTAGTGTTGTACTAAGATTGCTTGCGTTAGAGATATGAATGATCAGCATTTGATGATTTAGATTGTTCTGCTGAAAAGGAGTGTAATAATGGAATTTCTCAATCGATACCTCTGAAATAGTTATCTAAGTCCCAATCTCAATTGAAAATTTCAGAAGACATTCTAGTTCGAAAGTTAAATTTTTAGAAGTGATGTGATGATTGATATGATGCCAAATTTTTCTAACACTCCTTATTTTAAAGCACTCTCTAGTTATGGTGTCAGATGAAGTTAAAACAATGGGAATAAAGAACCCTGAACACTAGTAGAGGCTTGAGAACTTTACGTAAATGTTGACAAAACTTTCAGAGGTTATCATAAAGTACGTTACCAGGTCAAAGCCAAAGCATTAAGTGATACGGTCGGGGAGGAGCCGAGATCTTTGGCATTTAACCTGCCAATTGTATTGTGTTCTCGCCTGGACCTCTTAAACAGTTAGGTGCTTATATCCTCAGCTCGTATGAACACAAAACTCTCCTTTCCTCCACATCTGTCGATTCTGTCTCATATTTGTCTGGCGCATTGAGGGGCTAGTTTGTCTACGTCCTTATTTTGAAATGAAAAGCGTTGTGTTACACCATGTGTTATTTATTCTCAATCCTCCTCTGTCCTGCCATCCTTCTTGATTTAGTCTCCTTTTGTATTTTAGAGAGAGAGGTCTTGTATCTATGTATTCGATTGTGAATATATCGGCGCCTGCTGAAGGGAATCGCCTAATTGTTTTGACTTTTGCCCAATGATGAACTTTATAATTAAAGTTTAACAAAAATGAACTGAGAGCCCATTGAGCTCTCACTGGTTTGCAGGGTCCTTTTACATAGGTTTTTTTAGTAGGTTCAAATCTAATTTAATATCCCTGACCACTTGATTTTGAAACTCATCCTTTTAGATAATTGTTTTGAGTATAATTTCTTTTCAAACTGGTATATCTGTCTCTCCACAGGTTTTTCGGCTCTTCCTATGAAAACCCCTCACCACGACAAGATTTAATTCATCTGAACAAGAAAGGCCTTGGGATGGTCTTCAATCTAATCAAAGAGAAGCTGTCTAAAGAAGAATCTTAGAACTTAAGCCTCCTTTTCAATTAACTTTTCTTCTTCTTCTCTCTATCTTTTAAAATTGACTTCCCTCTACTATTTATTTTTCTAATTTGTATTATTGCATTTATTTATTAGAATAATGATTTTTTATATTGATTTTTCTTTGTTGTTGTACTGACATTCTTGTTGTAATTTTTGAGACTGTTTTGTATCAATATAGTATTTTGATATCTATTTATTGTTTAGAAGGAAAACCCTATTTTTATAGTTACCTTGTCTTTAGTTTTCTGCTTAATCTGCTAAGTAGTCTTTCCTCCTTCTTTCAGGATTTGATATTGACATGGAGCATTGATTCGCAGCCAAAATAAATATTGAACTTTATATGTAGCTGTCAATGCAAAAAATATTCAAGAATAATTTTTCTTTTCCTTAGAAAACAAGTAGAAAAAAAACCCTATTTCTTCTGTGCAGAACTATGAAGATTGTATTTTGGGATTATTTTATTAGAATTGTCACGTTTCAGTAAAATAGATGTTGCTCATAAATAACTCATTGCCTCAGTGATTTCAAATTACATACTTTTGTCAGAGTAGATTAGAAAAGTATTTGTAAACTGACATTTTAGTAAGTATAAGAGTAATGACTATTTTATATAATTCAAAGATGATATTTTATATTTTTTTTCTCTGATCTTCATTGTTCCCCACCTAATAGTTTATTTTTTACATTGTTTCTTGCTCAAAAATTGGACAATAAAAATTTTAGTTTCTAAGTATCGATTTTTACCTTGTCCATCTTCTTTGTTTGATTTATGGCAGATAGACTGATGCTCCAAAGTCGAAGCCAAGATAGCTTATGAGCTGGTCTTGCTTTCGTTTTAAAGCTTGCAACATTTCAATCAATTAATACGAAAATCATCTTATTTGCTTAACAACTGATGAAGATAATGAGAGTTTGAATGAAGGAAATGAAGCTGCCGCCTACACTGCCGTGCTAAGGAAGAACGCCGTATGAACATTCGAGAGTTGCCAAATTTCCCTCGATGAAAGGTTAATTTTTGAGGAAAGTTATGAATATTTTTCCGAGAGATTTTCAAGAACTTTCGGTAAAATTGTGAACAAAATTATCTGAAAAATCGGAAGAAAAATCTCTACAAATTTTCCCGAAAATTCGTGATTTACCAATGGAAATTTGGCAACGCCTGAAGGTTCATACGGCGTTTTTCCTTAGCACGGCAGTACAGGCTTTAAATAAGACTCAAATCCTCATGAAAAAGTTCCATTATCAACCATCAATATTGACTTTCGTTAATGACGAGGTAAGCCTGCTTCTTGTAGTATGGACCACCATAAGCCAAGTCTTCTTTTCTATAAATTTCACCATGTAAGTAAAGACCTTTCTACGATCTTTGACTCTTAAAATGAAAACTTGTGACAGTCTTACAGCGGCAACTTCACTTCCTCCAGTAGTCCAGTGTCGAGGCATTTTCCCCAACCCTAATAATTTTGCGAAAAGTAGGTAGAGGAGTTTTGCTGGGGAAATTTTTCCTCCAGCTAATACAATGCGTTTTTTCACTTTCAAGAGACTTGGCGCTCAGAATCATAGGTGAACGGAATTTTTATCAGAAACCGTACCAAAATAACACCGAAAAGACGGAGATTTTCAAATTCAAAATTCGTGATAAGTCAGGGAATTTTTGAATCAAAGAAAACTTGTCACCTGCTAACAGCGACGATCATTGATCACGATAGTCGTGATTCCACTCGTTTTCGTCGGTGCGGTTGCACTATTTGACAACGCTGCTACATGCAGAGGATAGTTTATGATTAATAAGCTACGATTTTTATATATATCCAAGTAAATTAAGTGAGAAGATTCAGAGGAAGGTAAAAGTGTGTAATAGCTGTTAAAGCCAGGCAAGTAATTTCCGCATGAATAGTCTCCATTTATTCAGATATTCATCATTGATATACCGCTACTAAAAAAAGAAATACCTTTTTTTCCTCTAATCATCCTATATTCGTGCAAAGACTGTACGGATCAATGAGTGACACATTTTTTATCACAAGCGGAAAAAATTGAACCGCGCCGGCTAATTCAATGGCTAGGCCTGGATGCAACTATTCGTGTCCTGTGGATGTCCTTGTTGCATACTCAAAAAATTGCGGGCGCTTTCGTTTTCTTAGGCACAGTACTATACAACGTATGGCTGCGGTTAGTTAGTTCTCAAGAGTTTTCCGCGTCGCATCTACAACCCTGCCGTGCTAAGGAAGAACGCCGTATGAGCCTTCAGACGTTGCCAAGTTTCCTTCGATAAAAACTGAACTTACTGAGAAAATTGGGAATATTTCCCCCTAAAATTTTTCGACAATTCTGTACGAAATTTAATCTAAAATATCTGAAAATTTTAAAGAAAAATGTTCATAAATGTTGTCAAAAATACATGTTTTATCAAAGGAAATTTGGCAACTCTCGAATGTTCATACGGGGTTTTTCCTTCGCATGGCAGAATCGTGTTTACCCTAAAATCGTGGAAATTCGAGTGAGCCATGTTATATTATGGCAGCTTTGCCAAATGGTGCAAAATTTTTCATCAAATCATACCTTAAGACATCGTGGGATGTCAATCTGGCATATTGTACGTAACATTTACAACATTTCCTGAATTTGCACTATTTGGCAACGCTGCCGTGATGTAACACGGCGCATTCGAATGTCGAGGATTTCATGGTGAACACGATTGTAACAGGAAAGTGGAAAACTCTTGAGAACTATCAACCGCAGCTATACGTTCGTTGTAGTGCTGTACCTAAGAAAGCGAAAACGCCCGTAATTTTTTGTGTATGCAATACGGACATCCGGAGAACACGAATAGTTGCATCCAGATCTAGCCGTTGAAAAAGCTGGAGCGCCTTAAAGTATTCTCCTGTGATAGCAAAGAGGGTCACTTCCCCCTTCCTCTCCGCAGCTTTGCCACATGTGCAGCTATACTAAAACGAGTCGCACTCATCGCAAATGTTATTTTTCGTCGATCGAAATCACCGACAAGGAACAATTAAAATGTGTGCCACTAAGGCTCCAAAAATATCATGGTTCAACATGAGTAAAATTTTCGCGTCGCGCCCTGATGATGATCCAACGGGTCGAAACGCACGTCGGACGGTAATTTTGCTGTAATTTCGCTGACTAGTGAGTTTTTTTAAATTTAAATTTTAAATTTTACTTCATTTTTAAAATTTTAAATAATAAGGTCTTCACATTATATCGACGGTGCAACTTAGACCACGTATCTCGGTTTGTGACGTTGCAGACTTCCTGTCATACTTTATTTTTCAAATGGAAAACTATTCAAAGTCAATCCTTGAAATTGTCGGTGATTTTTCTTATGTTCCAAGAAAACTCTCTGAAAATTTCAAGAATTGATATTGATTAGTTCTCTTTCAAAAAAATAAAATGGGAGCGGAGATTTTTAAACACCGCAAACGAGATACGTGGTCTGGTAGTTTCACCGACGATATACGTCTCTGTACTATAAATATGTCAAGCAACTCGCATTTGTCGGTACGCATACTTTCCTACACTGCGTTAAAGTCTCTGGGGGTGATTCCTGCATTTTGCCGTATCGGTGATTTTTCGTGTAATTCAACATTATCAAAATTTAAGGTACGGAATTTTAGGAAAGCTGACGCCGCGTCGCACAGTGGCACGAGCTAATAGAAGAAGTCGGACATGAAATGTTTCGCTATTTCTTTGATGTTTATTACGTCACAAATTCAATATCAAGGGGTGTTTCGAAAAGGAAGTTTCACGAAAAACCCAATAGAACCACTCTCAAAATTTGTTGTCTCATATTTTTCGCAAATATAAGCTTTTGAAGTTTCCAGATTTTGCCCGACTCCTCCTATTGACTCGATCCACTGTGCGCCGGTGGAAGTTGAGTCGTATTTTGTTCGGAGGCAACACTCGCAACATGTTGTAAAAACGAGCAACAATCGCATTTTGTTCAAAGTTGTTTTGTGTTGTGGGGGCGGGGCTTATTTTCGTGCGCAAAGTTTGGGAACCCCTACAGCAACATTGTTGCACAACAACTGCAACGTGCTCAGAGCAGGTCGCTTTCATGTTGTTCAAGAGAGCAACGCTGATTTCTAACCTAAAATTGGAAGTTGCTCTCTCATTGGTTGTTCAGAATCGCGTAAAAAGAAACAAGAAAAAACAGAAACATTTTGTTGTTTCGAACCACAGATTAGTCCAGATCGCTAACATCGGCGGAGGAGCGTGAGTAGTTTTGTGAGCGCCATTGGCGGGAAAATCCATGGGCATTTAAAACTAGGAACCAAAACTGAAATTTTGGCTATTTTCAGCAGATTTTCGGCGGGAGAATACTTCTTTTTCAGATTTTTGTGGGATGAAACGTTCCGAAGAATTCAAGAATTAGTTTCTCAGTAGAATTTATGTGGTTCAATATTTCCAGATTAAATAATTAAGGTGGAAATAAATAAAGAAGGAGAATTAATTAAAATACGAGTAAACAAGGCTAAAAATTATTGAAACACTAAAAGGTAAGACGTTTCGAGCTGCTTCCAGCTCATTTTCAGCTGCAAAAACACATAAAAACAAGTAAAAAATTGAGTGGCGACCTGACCTCAGCTAGAGCCGTTATCACGTAACCACTCATAATAACGGCTGGGGTCAGGTCGCCACTCAGTTTTTTACTTGGTTTTATGTGTTTTTGCAGCTGAAAATGAGCTGGTAGCAGCTCGAAACGTCCTGCCTTTAAGTGTTTCAATAATTTTTAGCCTTGTTTACCCGTATTTTAATTAATTCTCCTTCTTTATTCGTATAATCGGGCTATGTTTTTGTGCTTTATCGGTGGAAATAAACAAATCAGAGTTCATCAGTATACTGAGTAGATAACATTATTGAAAAAATTTGCAGATTATAATATATCATATTTTTGAAGTTTAAAGCCTTAGAAACCGAAAATTAAAGCAAAATCCTGCCAAAATGAGACTTTTGGTTCCTAGTTTTGAATTCCCGCCAGGCCCCCATGAGAGCAGTTAATTGCTACCAACTGTTGTAAGAATATTGAAACAGAATACTTAGCATAACAGTACTTGATAAAATCTTATTTGATCAAAAACCATTATTATGCATTACTATCTATACTTTATTAAAGCTTTATAATCAGAATCAAGAGGAATTTTCTCTCAATCCGGTCAAGTCCTTTCACTACTGGTAGTGCCATCAATTTTCTGAAGTTGCCTAACTTGAAGCAAAATTACTCACGCTTTCTAAGCATTGGCTAAATTGGATGTTAGCGATCTGGACTAATCTGTGTTTCGAACAAAACACGACTTTGAATGGGGGTGCTGCGTGGCGTGGCTCTGCCTAGCTGTAAGGGCACGCGCAGCGCGCCGCGAACAGCTAGTTATTTTACCAGGATAAGTATATTTTAAGAATACAAAAAAAAAGAAAAACGTACGTTCCAACTGCGAATGCAGCTATCATGTGCACTGAAAGTGTAAGTGCAAAATCTTTGAAAGAAGTAATGATCTTCGCATATGGAAAGGGGGAGAGGAGGAAGAATACAATGTTCATAAAGCTATTCGGGTACAGCTATAAATTTTAAATCATGATATCCAGATGAACATATCGATGACCA